CTCTATCGTTTAGGGTAATGATGATATTCAATCGTACTAGAAATTTTGCAAATCTTGTTTTTTTTTTATTTTTGTTCTTTTTTAAGAGTTTCATATATGATAACCCTAACTAAATTTTGCAGGTTAATTATTAAAATTAGGTCTCCATTAAAATCTGGATTTTACTTATTGGTAAGACGATTTTGCTTTGCACGATATTAATCCCAAAGATTCTTTTTATCGTTTTTATATTCAGCTGGATTTCTGCAAATTCTGTTTCTAGTCTTGTATGATATATTTGTGGCTTTAGGTTTATTAACTTGATAAATCTTTTTTTTGGTAAAATAACTTCATAAATGTTGGGGGTAAGGACTTGTTCTTTTTAACTCTGTGATTTGCATTCACGTATGGTTTTGCCTAGTTGAATATTTTCCAGAGATTCTTATATTTTTTGTATTCATTCAGATTGCTACACACTTGTTTGTAATCGTTTGAGATTATTTTGTGGCTTTCAGAAACAGTAACTTCAGAAATCTGTGGTTAAGGACTTGTACTTTTAACTAAGTGATTTGCATATATGTGGTTTTTGCTTCTGTTTTATATTCTCATGAACCATTTTATTTTTCTTTTCTCTGATCTACAAAGACATGGAATGCAACAAGGATGAAGCTATAAGAGCAATGGATATTGCTAAGAGGAAAGTTACAGAACATAATTACAACGAGGCGAAGAAATTTGCTAACAAGGCTCAAAAGTTATATCCACAGCTTGATGGTTTGAAACAAGTGTCGAAGTTGATCGATGTGTATATCTCGGCAGGAAACAAAATCAGCGGAGGAGAGTTTGATTGGTATGGAATTCTTGGTGTTGATCCATTGGCTGATAAGGAAGCGTTGAAGAAACAATACAAGAAGTTAGCTCTTTTGCTTCATCCTGATAAGAATAATTGTCAAGGCGCTGAAGGTGCGTTTAAGCTGGTTTTAGCCGCTTGGTCTTTATTATCAGATAATATTGAGAGAACTGCTTATGATCAGAGGAGGACTTCGAAAGAAGTTAAACAGAAACAACCACCAAACCAGCAGAATCAGACACCAAACCAGTCAAAACAGCCACCGAACCAGCAGAAACAACCACCTAACCAGCCGAAACAGCCACCAAAGCAGGACCAACAACCACCAAACCAGCCGAAACAACCACCAAACCCACAAAAACAACCAGCAAACCAGCAGAGTCATACACCAAACCAGCAGAAACAACCACCAAACCAGCCGAAACAGCCACCAAACCAACATAAACAACCAACAAACCAGCCAAAACAATCACCAGACCAGCGGAAACAACCGCCCAATCAGCAGAAACAACCACCAAACCAGCCGAAACAACCAGCGAACCAGCAGAAACAACAATCAAATCAACAGAAACAATCACCAAACCAGAAGCAACAACCACCAAACCAGCCAAGTTCTAATGGATTTCGAAATGGTTCAGCTAAAATCAATAAGCCCACTTGTAAAGACAGTACCCTTAGGCCAATGTGCCACAAATGCAGGACACAATATGTGTATGTGAGGATTTATGACTTTAACAAGACCATGCTTTGTCGAACTTGCCTTGGGAATTTTATGGAAACTGAGAAAAAGAAAACACCGCAAGAAACAAACAAGAACACAAATGGTTCTTCTTCTACAACTTCAGCATCTGATAGCACAAAGGCTGCAAATCAAGGACAAGAAAGAGTGAAAACATGGTTTGAGGAGTACCGGGAAAAGCTTGCTGCTGCTGTTGCTAGAGGAAATGCAAACTCTACTACACATGAAGCAGACAGACTTTCCAAGAAACCGATGAAAAAATCTACTTTTGAAGAGGAAAGGCTTTACAAGAATCCGAAGACAAGTGGAGATGCAAACTCTACTCATGAAGCAGAGAGGCTTTTCAAGAACCCGATGAAAACAAGAAATGCATACTCTACTCATGAAGCAGAGAGGCTTTTCAAGAACCCAATGAAAACAGGAAATGCAAACTCTACTCAGGAAGCAGAGAGGCTTTTCAAGAACCCGATGACAAACGTGAAATAAGAAGACAATCCCAAGTTGAATTTTTTTTTTTTTAATCTTTCCGGGAATTTTTTGTAATCTTTGTAATTAGAGGAGGTAATTAATCAAAGTGGCTCCACTAATCACCAATTACAGTATGTCACGTTTCCAAGCTGAAAAATAATGAAATTGACATGCCAAGACAAGTTTATACAAGGAAGAATAAGAATGTTCTGTCCTTGGCACGTGAGAAGCAACTTTTAGGAAACAGAAGAAAATTACAAGTCACATAAAATAAGGTAATGTTTACGTAAATGAGATCAGAATCACGAATTGAAATCTCCATTATTATTATTTTTGAATGAAAAACATGTAGATTTAACCACCAAGATACATATCTAATTTTGAAATCTCCATTATTATAAGCCTGATATATCTCTGTTTCATCTTCTATTTGTTTGTTGTTTTAATTAAATTTTGCAGTAGTGACTTCACATCTATCTTGTACACTAGGAAAATAGTGTAAGACGAAGTTCTCGAACTATATATCACCAAATTATACTTATTGTTTTTTGTAAAACAAATGACAAACGATTTATGAGAAGAACTGAAACTAGTAAAAGAATGACGAAAGTCAGAGAGAGGGAAAAAAAAGAAGGCGGGAAAGAGAGAGAGGGAAAAAAGAGGTAAATAACTAATTGTCTAATAGTTTCCCTTTTCCGTCCCTAAAGTCTCAAAATATTTTATGTTTGCCCCAATTGGTTTTATTAAATCGAAATAAACCCTCTTGGTTCGAGTCAGAAATTAATTTTTTCTACACCGGGCTCTTCTTCTTTTATCTTTCGTTTCTCCACCGTTTAGGGCATTCTGATATTCAATCGCACTAAAATGTCGCTGGGTTAATAAGTGGGTCTCCATCAAAATCTGGCTTTTACACTTATTGGTAAGATTATTTTGCTTTGCACGAGAATCCCAAAAGTTTCTTCCTTTTTTATGGGTTTTGTGTATTGTCGGATTTCTTCAAATCTGTTTTGTAATTTGTATGATTACTTTGTTGCTTTAGATTCAGTAACTTGAGAATTCTAGGGCCATGGACTTGTTCTTTTGACTTGGTGATTTGCATGTATCGTTTTGCCTTGAGTTGAATTAAGATGTTACTTACTCTTAAGATGTGTTTAGTTTACACGAGATTCTTCTTTTTATGAGTTTTGTGTATCCGTTCTTCTGTTTTTGATTGATTGTGTGTAATTATGTTGTGGCTTTAGATATAATAACTTCAGAAATCTGTGGCTAAGAACTTAGTGTCTTGCATTTACGGTTTTGCTTCTGTTTTATTATTCTTCTGAATCCTTTTTCTTTTGGTTCCTCTGATTTATTTTCCGTAGAGACAAGGTGCAAAATTGTTTGAAGGATTCTTTGTCCTGCAAAGATATGGAATGCAACAAGGAGGAAGCTATAAGGGCAATGGATATTGCCAAGAGGAAAGTTGCAGAGACTGATTACAACGGGGCGAAACTTTTTGCTAACAAGGCTCAGGATTTGTATCCGAAGCTTGATGGTTTAAGACAAGTGATGATGTTGATCGATGTTTATATCTCAGCAGGAAACAAAATCATCGGAGGAGAATCTGATTGGTATGGAATTCTTGGTGTTGATCCATTGGCTGATGAGGAAGTAGTCAAGAAACAATATAAGAGGCTAGCTCTTTTGCTTCATCCTGACAAGAACAATTGTGAAGGCGCAGAGGGTGCGTTTAAACTTGTTTTAGCTGCTTGGTGTTTGTTATCTGATAAGGTTAAGAGAATTGCTTATGATCAGAAGAGGAAGTTGAACGAAGTTAAACCGAAAAGGAGTCGAAAGCAGAAACAACCACCAAAGAAACCACCAAAGCAGCCGAAACAGCCACCAAATCAGCAGAAACAGCCGCCAAATCAGCAGAAGCAGCCACCAAACGAGCAGAAGCAACCACCAAACCAGCAGAAACAGCCACCAAACGAGCAGAAGCAACCACCAAACCAGCCTAAACAACCACCAAACCAACCAAGTACTAATGGTAGAGCTAGAAGCAAAAAGCCCACTGCCAAAGTTCCTACCTTTTGGACAATGTGCAACAAATGCGGGACACAATATGAGTATGTTAGGGTTTATTATCTTAACAAGACGGTGCTTTGTCGAAATTGCCGTGTGAATTTCAAGGCAACTGAGAAAGAGAAAACAGCAACTGAGAAAGAGGAACCACCAACTGAGAAAGAGGAAACATCGCAAGCAACAAACAAGAACACAAATGGTGCATCTTCTTGTGAAAGAGATTCTTCACTGACTGTTAATGTTGGTTCTAAAAGAGAGGTTAGGGAGTCAGAAGAAAAGGATGAAGAAGAAGCTGGTAGAGGAATTGCAAACTCTGATTTGAAAGTAGAAGAGAGAGTTTTTAAGAAGCTGAGGACAGATAATTATGCAGAGTCAAGTAGTGGAATCAAGGGTTGAAGAACTATGATATGTAGAAGTTTAACAGTTGATGCTTTTATGATTATGATATATAAATATTTTCCACCTAGACTAGGAAAATGTACAGTGGAACAAGGTTAGTTCTTCCTCCTGTTATCTTCAATGTTATATCTCAAATGTTATAACTTTATTTTATTTTTGCTAACAATCTGTGCTCTCTAGTTTTTTTATATGATCGAAACTAGACCGGAATTGAATGTTTTGGTTGACAACGTGGGCCAATTAATCAAAGTGGAACCATTTAAAATTGTCACGTTTCCATTAACAAAATATTTCCTTTTTCTCGTCCCTCAATTCTCAAAAGTTTTCACTTGTTTCCCCAAATATCTTAATGAGAAGATTTAGTCCTCCTACTTTGGGTCATATATCACTTGTAAATCGGGATATTCGTTAAAAAAATCCCCTTTTATTTTCTTCCTTCCTTTTTTTTTTTTTGTTCTTTCCTTTCTCGAGTTTCTTCTCTAGGGTTAGGGTTCGACGAACGCAGCTGTTCTACGCGTTTAGCTTCAATTCGCCATTGAAGAAGCCATAATCTGGTTCGTAATTATCGATTTTGTTATTTGTTTCCGATTAGTTATATTATTTTCCGTTTGTTTTCTTGCTCTTCTCGGGTTTGGTATTTTTTCACGAACTTTTGCATCTTTCAGATCTACTGTATGTTTTTCCCTTCGTTTGTGACGGCGTTTTCTGTGAAAAGAGTTTTAATTTCCATGGAGAATTGCTCGATAATCTCTAATTTAGCTCTTTGGCAATCAAAATTTTCGATTTCATTGTATTTTTCTGGATGTGTGAGCTTGGTTATGAACAGCGTCGGTCTAGCTCGTTTACATGATTCTCTCGTGGGAAAGGAACAATTATGTTCTTTTTTTGTTTCATGATTCATGTTATTATGTTGCATATGTTAGCCCCTTTTACTCATTTAGACTATATGTGAATGTGTTTGTTTTGATGCCATTTTTTTGTATTTCCATCAATCAGTAATTTTTCAATTCTTATTTCAATTCTTTGTCATTGACTATGTTGATGATTCCTTTTCTTTCAGATTCCTAAAGAGCTTACATTTGATATTCAACTATAAAGTTTTGACGCTAGAGATTAAGATCCTATTGCCAGTAGGTATCATACTTCAGTTGCTGGGAACACAATTTGACCAGGTATAAATCTTAGCTCATGGAAAAGCAAATTAGTTTTTCTTACATCTCTTAGATTTATACCCTTTCTAGCTTACAGTACCAGTTGAAAGACCAAGCTGATTCCTCTTATGAAGTGACATACATTTGTTTCATTGGTTCTGCTTTTGCTAGACCGTGTGTGAAAGATACCAATGGCTGGAGTATTAGCTGCTGGGGATTGTTCATTCGGTGAGAGTGGCATTTCATCTTACTCCAGGAATTCCAATGAAAAGCAGGACGAGGTTGCCCGCTGGTATTTTGGAAGGAAAGAAATAGAAGAAAATTCACCATCAAGGTTGGATAGTATTGACTTAAAGAAGGAAACATACCTCCGCAAGTCATACTGTACATTTTTGCAGGACTTAGGCATGAGATTAAAAGTGTAAGTAAAATGTTCTGACCTATATATTTCAGCTTTATATGTTGCATTTTCCATTTGATTACTTCTTGTGAGCTTGGTCTAGGACATGATAGTGCCTCCAACCATGATAATTGCATCTGTTAGTGTTATAGTGAATTAGTGATCTCCTTACCTGTAAGTTCCGTAGGATCGAATTTTGAAATTTATAGAACTTGATGTTGTAGAGGTCATTTAACGCATGAATAATCTAGTCATATTTATTGGCAACAAAAAGATGAAACTGGTGAGTTATCTTTGGTTATATATATATCTAGATTTTGGTGCTTTTTCCATTCGATTACTTCTTGCGAGCTTGGTCTTGGACATGATAGATCCTCCAACCATGATCATTGCCTCTATTTCTCTTACAGAGTATAGTGATCCCTTTACATGTAGGTTTTGTAGGATCAAAGCTTTGAAATTTTATAGAATTTGATGTGGTAGAGGTAATTTAAGGCATTAATAATCTAGTCAGAGTTATTGGCAACAAAAAGATGAAACTGGTGAGTTCATCTTGAGTTATATAGTCAGTCCTTTAATGGCTTTGCAAAATTTAGTATCTAGTAGTGAACCCAGTACTCGGTCTGAATTATCTTCATATTGACATGGTTTCATCTGCAATGATAGCTTTCACTTTTGGCTCTCCCAGTAAACGTGGCTAATATATTTTTCTAATACAGTCCTCAGGTTACAATAGCTACAGCAATAATCTTCTGTCATCGATTCTTCATTCGCCAGTCACATGCTAGGAATGACAGAAGGGTAAGTATATATTTTTTTTGCACATGACATAGTTGAATACTTATAGACATTGGCCTACTCTATGTTGTTCGAGCCAGAGTGCTGGTGTCTTTTTTGCATGAATTTGAAGCATTGAAATGGCTCCTTGTCCTTGGTGCCTGTTTATATTCATTGTCTCCATCTCTCTGCCAGTTTCCTTTGTATGTATAGAAAGCAAACTAGCTGATGCAGTAGATAAATTTACACTGACTTCTTGCGAAGATTTCTGCCATGATATATATTAAGCGTTCTCTTAGTCTATTTGGTATAAATGCATCTAGTTCTTTGTACTTATTTATCCTTCTAGAGACTAGAGCAGAACAGTATTAAGATTATTACTGAGTCCTTTTTCCATGTTGTCCTCCCTCCACACCCAGACGATTGCTACAGTCTGCATGTTCCTTGCTGGAAAAGTTGAAGAAACTCCAAGGCCGTTAAAAGATGTTATTGTTGTCTCCTATGAGATAATACACAAGAAGGATCCTACTACTGCACAGAAAATCAAGCAAAAGGTCCGAATACTACTAAACCTTTTCTCTACTCTATTGCTCCCTGTTAGTTAGTTATACGTGAATTTGCACATTTTTCTCACATATTCTATTTTACGATGGCATGAAATTTGTACTAACCCCAGAATTGTGCTTTTTCTTGTTAACAATCCTCCTCTGATTATTGTCCTTTTCGTTGGATCTCTCATCTGTAGTGGTTACCTTCTCTATAATTTATCTTCTTTGTACTGAACTTATTACACTTTTGCAGGAAGTATATGAGCAACAAAAAGAGCTTATACTAAGTGGAGAAAAGATTGTACTTTCTACGCTGGGGTTTGACTTCAACGTTTATCATCCTTATAAACCTCTTGTAGAAGCGATAAAGAAATTCAAGGTCGCACAGAATGCTCTGGCCCAAGTTGCATGGAATTTTGTTAACGATGGGTACGTTAAAAGTCTGTTTCCTTGAAAAGCTTCAGATAGATCTATCTGTCTTGTATTTTCGTCTTCATACAATGAAAAGATGCTTGCAGTCTGCGGACGTCACTCTGCCTGCAATTTAAGCCTCACCACATTGCGGCGGGAGCAATTTTTCTTGCTGCGAAGTTCCTTAAAGTGAAATTACCATCAGATGGAGAGAAGGTTTGGTGGCAAGAATTTGATGTCACACCTCGACAACTAGAGGGTGAGAGAACTATCTTTGTCTTCGAATTGATTTATGAGACTGTTTCCACTTTTTCTGTTTGACTTGTATGCGTTATTTTGGATCTGATGCTAAGAGCTACTGCCTTTTGTATACTGCAGATGTTAGCAACCAAATGCTTGAGCTCTATGAGCAAAACCGAGTTCCTGCATCTCAAGGAAGCGAAGTCGAAAGTAGTGTAGGTGGAGGATCAGCTCATCATGTTGGTTCTAGGCCAATATCAGCTCGTCCAACTCATGAACATTCAAACTCTGATAATCATGGGGGCTCGTCAAAAGCTACACAAAACCGGAGCAATGATAATGGGAGTGGTGAGGCAGGTAGTGTCATTACCGAGCAGAAGGGGGAAAGAGATATAGAAACGAAAGATAGCTTGCATACTGAAAATCATCCAGCCCATAAGTCTAGATCAGGAGTTGAAGCATCTGGGGAGGAAAAAACAGCGAAAGCAGGTGCACATTTCCTAGAAGATGATAAATCTAGAATTGTTGGTACGGGTGATACCCCAGTCAGCCAATCCCCAAAAGACATTAAATTGCTTAGAGATAAGGTGGTGAAGGCCAAACTAGAGGCTAAGAAGGTCCAAGGTGAAAAGACGAGGAAAAAGGACTTGGTGGATGAGGATGATTTAATCGAAAGAGAACTGGAAGACGTGGAATTAGCTGTTGAGGATGAGAAAGATATACAAAACAAGAGCTCCAAAATCAATCAAATGGGTACAGAACACGGCGAGATTCTTGATGGAAACAACTTGGTGGTCAATACCGAGGAAGGTGAAATGGTAGATGATGTTTCTTCAACAGTGCCTAGCCGGAAGAGAAAAATGGGAAGCCCTTGTGAAAAACAGTTAGGAGAAGGAAAGAGGCGACACAACAACAGTGAGAATGTAGAAGAAGGTCACAAGACAAACCGAGGAGGAAGTAGTCATAGTCATGGTGACCGAGAGCCAAGAAGACACTCCCAAGAGAGGTAGATGATAAAAACCTTCTCATGGTCTATTAGAGACATTTGGCAACTTTGATTCCCAACCATGATGCGAAATGATGAGCCCGTGTAGTTACAATGTTCATTATCTTTCTTTCTTTTTTCTTGGCACTTGTATTCAACAGTTGAGAAACTAAATCAGGCTTCCATCCATCAGAGACCTCCCATAGGCTTTAGGGTCTCTATAATTTTGATATTTATTTGCATTCCCTTTGTATATCGGGAAAAAAAAAGAATTTTGACGAATTTATTTAGAGCCAAGTCAATATTTTGTGATTTGTCATTGCCTGAGGATGTTTTGATATAACTATAGAAAACCGAGTGGCCAATTGAGTCAATGTACACTAATTTTGATATTTAGTTGTTTTTGTAAGGTTTGTGTTATATCAAGTCCACATTTGTAGCCCCCTAGTTCCGATTGTCCAATTGAATGTATCGGTTAGCTTCGTGACCAATCCGGTTAGCCACAAAATCAGGCGGATTAGTTGTCAAATTAACAGCAAACCGATTATCAAATCAAACTTCTTTTTCAATTCGTTTTCCAGTTTTCCAGGTTTAAAAATAAATGGGTCTGAATTAATTCGTTCGGTTTAAACTTTTGGTCTAGTCCAATTTGGATTTAGTTTGGAATTTTATCGAAGATATAAAAGTAAAAAAATTGCTAGTTTCGAATTTTCAATCAAATATTACATGTACAATTGAAAAATATGTAAATATGTATTTGTTTGATGAAAAATTTTAATGAAACAAATTTTGGTATACTCGGTTAAGTTGCTCAAAATTTAAATTTGGTTCGGTTTATTCATTAGCAAACACAGGAAAAAAAAAAATGCCGACCTAAAGAAGGAACAACAAAAGACCTAAAAACCCTCTGGTCTTCTTCTTCTTCTCCTTGCTCTCTCTTGTCGTCGGCGGCAGATTGTTAAACCGGTAGGCATATCGTTCCGACACTCTGTAGTCATTACAAACATGTCAATAGAACAAAAAAAAAGTCATATTTTTCTTCTCTTATAGTTTCGGATTCCCTTTTTAAAGTCTACAGTTATTTCCCAGAAGGAGCTCTTGCAAAGCCAAAGAATGTAAGTATTTGTTTCTCAGAAACACTTTTTTTCTTTAGGGTTTTTAACTAAGGTTTCACAGAAATCAACCAATCTAAGAAATTTGTCTCCTTTACTTTGGCCTTTGTAAAATTGCAGGTCGAGGATATGCGTTAAGAATTTGCCAAAACATGTGAAAGAGGATCGACTTCGAGATGTCTTTTCACAGAAAGGAGAAATCACTGACGCCAAATTGATGCGTTCCAAGTATACTTCTTCTACTATATCCAACTCCATTTTTTCACAACTAAATTTTGTACTTTTATTGATTGTTTTAATTTTAATCACTCTCTGTTTTTTAACTTGTTTCTTGCAGTGATGGTAAGAGTAGACAATTTGCTTTTATTGGATTTCGTAGTGCTCAAGAAGCTCAAGAAGCTATTAAGTATTTCAACAAGTCTTATCTTGATACTTCTCGTATATTTGTTGAGGTTTGTTTGTACTTTAAACTTTGACACTCTGTTTTCACTTGTGTATTGGTTATTGATTTCTAATTTAGATTCATTCTCCTTTGGTTTATAGATTGCTCATAAAGTTGGAGATGAGAATGCTCCTCGTCCCTGGAGTCGTCTTTCACACAAGAAAGAAGAGGAAGCTAATGAAAACAGTAAAAAATCTTCTAGTGAAGTCTTAAACAATGGTAATGCTAAAGGAGGTAAAAAGAAGAAAGCAGAGGTTGATGATCCTGAGTTCCAAGAATTTCTTGAGGTTCATGATAGGAGTAAGTCGAAAATCTGGTCCAATGACATGTCCATTCCTCCTGCTCCTGAAGAAACCGGTAAAGAGAAGGTCTTGGTGAAGAAAGCGGATGAGCCAATGATTTTCAATGGTGCTGAGCCTAACAACGCTAAAAGGTCATCTGATACCGAAAAGACTAAAAAGAGCAAAGTTGTTGCTGCCAGCGATGATGTTTCTGATATGGAATACTTCAAGAGTAGGGTTAAGAAAAATCTGTCGGATTCGGACAGTGATAATGAATCTGATGATAGTAGTGAAGATGAAGCTAGTGATGATGATGGGAAAGCTGAGGCAGATGGTCATGATGCTGATATTCGTAATTTTCCTATTGATGGCGATGTTGAAGCTGGCGGAGTTGATAAAGATGATGATGGCGATACCATGGAAGTAGAAGCCGATGGCAAGGTGGCTCAAGAATTGAAAGCTGACAGTGATGATGTTCTGGACACTGGTCGCCTTTTCGTCCGTAACCTGCCTTACACTGCAACGTACTTGATCTTCTTGTTCATCTTCTGTTCTTTTTATACACCTGATTTCTGTTTATCTTTCTGTTATTCATCTTATACATCTCTGATTGTTGTCAATAATCTCATGCAATAGAGAAGAAGAGCTTATGGAACATTTTAGCAAATTTGGTGAGATATCAGAAGTCCATCTTGTTCTTGACAAGGAGACAAAAAGGTCCAGGGGAATTGCCTATATCCTTTACCCGTTTCCGGAATGTGCGGCAAGGTATTATTCATGTCAAAACGTAGTTTTATTACTGCTGGTTAACCCTTGAGGTCTACGTGCATGCTTTTCAAGAAGTAGCCTTATGTTGATCTCTAGGTGCAGCCTTGTGTTGATCTCTAGCTGTTAGTTTAGGTGTTAAAACATTTGATGGTGATGCAGGGCAATGGAGGAATTAGATAACTCAAGTTTTCAGGGCCGGTTGTTGCATGTTTTGCCAGCCAAGCACCGTGAAACATCTGATAAACAAGTGTCAGTGGCCTACCCTTTCTAAGTTTCGGTCTTCCAACTTGTAATATTTTTGTGGACTAGATTTTCCGTTAGTTGTTTAACATGGCATTTCTCAACAGGAATGACACTTCTAACCTGCCAAAAACTTTCAAGCAAAAGAGAGAGGAACAAAGAAAGGCATCTGAAGCTGGTGGAAATACAAAGGCTTGGAATAGTTTATTCATGCGACCCGATACTGTACGTTTTTCTTGTTTAAAGAATGCATCCACTAATGTTTTTTAAATCTGGCTTTTAGCTTGCTTCATGTTTGTTTTCTTTTCCTTTGTGTTGTAGATTCTAGAAAACATAGTCAGGGTGTATGGTGTAAGCAAGAGTGAGCTACTTGACCGTGAAGCTGAAGATCCTGCTGTACGCCTTGCTTTGGGAGAAACAAAAGTGATTGCGGAGACCAAAGAAGCCCTTGCTAAAGCTGGAGTAAATGTTACTTCTTTGGAAGAATTTGCTACAAGGAATGGTGATGAGAATAACCGAAGCAAACATATCCTCTTAGTAAAGAATTTGCCATTTGCTTCCACTGAAAAGGAACTGGCTCAAATGTTTGGAAAATTTGGAAGTCTAGACAAAATTATCCTCCCTCCGACGAAGACGATGGCCTTGGTACTGTTATTTCCATGTGTGCTACTTCAATATATTGGACGAATAGTTAATTTCTCTCTAACCTGCCCTTAATTACATGATCTTCAGGTTGTGTTTCTTGAGCCGGCTGAGGCACGCGCAGCTCTTAAGGGAATGTCATACAAGCGTTACAAGTAAGCTTTAAAATTAACTTTAATGTTTATTAAATCAAGAGGGGAAGAACAACTTCTGTATAAATGTTTAAAATCCGTTTGTCTTTCACTAAAGTGCTTCTTGGAGATAAATGATCATGTCAGTTAAAACCAAACTGCTTCATCACATTTTCCTATTATTACAGAGATGCTCCCTTGTATCTGGAGTGGGCTCCTGGAAATATTCTTGAGCCAAAAACTCTTCCTGACAACAATGAAGAGAAGAGTGATGTTGCAGAAATTGGCGTGAGAAGAGTCAACTTGGAGCAGCAGGTTGAAATCGATCCAGATGTAACTGAGGTATGTCCAGTATTGTAGCTGTGAACGTTATGAAATCATATGTTTTTGTCTGTTTGAGTGGATACTAGCTATCAGAACTGAAAGGTAGTTGAGAAAATCTTGATTAGCTTAGGAAACTAAATTTGATTTTAGTCTTACCTCGTGGGGCTATATACGGGTGTAGTACTATCTTGTAAGTCTCAGACTCTCAGGTTAGGTTTTATATAATTTCTGTCATTAGATTTATGTATATAAATATATTTGTTTTCTGATCCATTTTGTAGACAAAGAAAGTTGCGTATGTATCTTTTGAATTGGTCTGTTCGTAACATTTCCTTTAATTAATGCATTATATTTCAGTCAAATGTCCTTCATGTTAAGAATCTGAGCTTCAAGACAACTGATGATGGTTTGAAGAAGCATTTGACTAAACTGGTGAAGCAGGGAAAGATTCTCAGTGTCAAGGTAAGTTGTTGTTCATTACTGACGTATGTTTTAACTGTGAGAGTCTGTTTTAGTAATCTTTAATTTTCCATTATAAGCAGATAATAAAGCATGTAAAGAATGGGAAGAATCTTTCAAGCGGTTATGGTTTTGTAGAATTCGACTCTGTAGAGACTGCCACCAATGTCTACAGAGATTTACAGGTATATAATACTTAAGTCTCTTTGAAACTTAAAGTTGATTGGACTTGATGAAGTACAGTGACACTTTCTTCTTTGGCAGGGAACTGTTCTGGATGGGCATGCTTTGATCTTGAGATTCTGTGAAAACAAGCGGAGTGACAAGGCTGGGAAAGATTCAGGCAAGGACAAACCTTCTACAAAGTTACATGTGAAAAATGTAGCTTTTGAGGCAACCAAGAAAGAACTAAAACAGCTATTCAGTCCATTTGGACAGGTATACACTTATCTTAAGGATAGAATGATGTTATGGGCACAGCTTATTAGTTCTAGTTTACAAACCATGAACACACACTACCATTCTTGTACAAGTCTGTGCAATTGCTGAAGTTTTGGTCTTATGCGTGTAAAAATTCTTTCTGTTAGAGGAAACTACAAGGGGATGAAACATTAGCGCTCTTTTGTGTTGGATAAAAAAGTTTTAGAAACAGAAACAGCTAACAAGATTCCTATTTCTTGTTTATGCAGATCAAGAGTATGCGGCTTCCAAAGAGGAATATCGGGCAATATGCTGGTTTTGCGTTTGTTGAATTTGTGACAAAGCAAGAAGCCTTAAACGCTAAAAAAGCATTAGCCAGCACCCATTTCTACGGACGCCATTTGGTAAGTCTTATTCTGTACGCTTGTCTCTCTCAAGCATGTTCTTTTGATATCCTTTCAATGCATTCTCTGACTCTCCATTTCAGGTGCTCGAGTGGGCCAACGATGACAATAGCATGGAAGCGATCAGGAAGCGTTCCGCTGCTAAGTTGGACGAAGAAAATGATAATGCAAAGAAAAGGAAAAGCTCGAAAGTTGTTGATGAAAAGCAAAATGAAGTTTGAGAGAATAATAGTTGAATAAGGCATACCCTCTAATATAGTTTGTATTGACCATAGTTTGTTCACATGCTATGGAGATTGGAGTGTGGTCTCTTTTGTAATTCTCCATGGTTGAAATTTTGCCCAATCTACTATATATTAGTTTTTTTATTTGTGTCTTGATCATATAACACAATACCCTACCTGAAATTAACAAGTGGTGTCTTGATCATATAAACAATACCCTACCTGAAGAAGTCAAAACTATATTATAATAAGCAAATTGAAGAACGCCACTAATGTGAACCAAATACTAATTCTTGACAAACGAACCCCGCAAGATTCCAAGATGCATGATCCAAGACACATGAGTAAATTTGGGGAAATGCCATGTTTATGTTTTTTTTTTTTTTTTGAATGAATGTTAAATTTATTCAACCAAAAAAATCCTTTGTACAATAAATGCAACCTTTAATCGAATGTTGTTTTGAAAGAATTCAAGTATAAAACTAAGAACACTAGGTCCTAGATTCAAACCATAAGCGGAGTCCATCTTCGAGTTTGCGAGGATCCAAGAGACGGATTGAAGAGATTCCGTTGCGAATTATGCAATCAATAAACTTGATTATTTGGTCTGCAGCAATTGGTTTATGTTTACAGTTTTGAAAAAAATACACTCTTTTTATTTTTGTCTTAAAAACTAACTTTCTTATATGTAAAAATTACTAAAATAGCCAATTTAAAACTTTTTCCAAAGATATTTATTATCTTAAATATTTTTTCAAAACAATAGAATTTTCTATCTATATATACATTTTTGGTGAAGATTTGGCCTCAAAAATCCTTTTACAATTTCAATATTGTACATTTAGTCCATACAAATAAAATCTGACAAAAGATTTGTCTTAATGAAATTTACAAAACAATTAAGTAACTCACAATATTTCCTAATATTACGATAACAAATTTGAGATCCAAAGATATGGTAATCAACAATTTAGAAAATCAATAACAAATCATCCATTATAGTAACAAATTTAAAGCATATTCTCTAAACAATCCTATATTAATTTTCTATGCCACTGTCATTAATTTCGTTTTCCAAAAATAATTAACCTTTAAACAAGATTTCGAATATCAATTAGTTGCAGTCCTTATCTCTCAATAATATTACCATAAAACTCTCAAAATTAACTCGATATTTCATATCAACAATATCTCTAAATATCTCCATTAATACTCGCAGCTAACTTACTAAAATCTCCATTCCAAGATTTTGAATATCAATTACTTGCACTTATTATCTTTTGACTATTTCCATAAAACTCTCAATATTACACCTCCGAAATTTCTTAAACAAATTGTTAAGATTTGCTAGATTTAATGAAAGATATTACTCAAATAAATCGTTGCTCACATATCCCATAATTTTCTCAACTATTCCTTTTATATTCTCCAAGATTATTGTGATCCCAACTAATAACTCTCGCAAAACGATTTAATGATTTCTAATCTACAAAATATTCACTAGATCGATTTTATAGAAACTATTTACTACTCTTCAAAAACGGATTGATAGCATATTCCAAAATACTAAACGAGTAAGATTTTATTCCAATTTAGTTACAGTATCAAATATATTATGCTTGGCGTTTAAGAGATTTGTGACCTAACTTAGCAGCTTATAAATACTCGAAAGCTTTACCTCTCATAACCTCATCGAATACACAATGCAACTCTCTGAATCTGTAGAAGGGGATTTGTCGAGCTTCTGTCTTCGGGCTGATCGTGTTAGTTTCCAACCATTGGTCTTCTCCGCTGCACTATATCAACATTCCTGATGCATGTTTATACCAATACAATAGTAAGCTTTTTTTATATAATATCTATATCACAAAACAATCAAAAGTATAAGTCTTATGATGCCAACCACATTTTCTTTGTTTCGGGTCCAAAGGGGACTACAAGGACGAAGCTGGAGAGAAAGAAAGATGTGTTGCAGGAGCCATTTACAATTACACCACACAGCTTCTTTCCTACATCATTGCAACGATAATCTCAGTCACAATGTAGTATCAAAACGTTGTCACCTTTTTTGTTTTTCACCAATTTCCTCATCTTTTATCACCTTCTTACGTTCAGTTTCTATTTTCTCTTTTCGTCAGACAACTTAATCGAGGCCCTGTTCTTCGTGTTCATGGGTGATATCCATCAGGTATAATTATAAATTCGATCAAGATAACCTATTTCTTAGCCAGATATGTCTAAATAGCATAGTTGTAAAATGCAGCCTCTACATGTGGTTATGCTTCAGCAAAGGAGGGAACACCATCGAAGTGCACTGGTACAGGAGAAAAGCTAACCTCCACCATGTAAGAACTGCCAAACGCATATAATTTGAGCATCATATAATTCAAGTCTCTAATATTTAGATTCATACAGATATGGGGTTCCAATATTATCGAAACAGATGAAACCAATCTCTATAACTCCGAACTAGAAGGAATGGTGGATGCAATCTAAAAGAATATCACGGTACTCTTGAATTAAAAAGTTTGTTCTCTACCTGTTTACTACAAGATGTTTTTGACTTGGTGACATATATATTTTAATAAATTGCAGACAGAATAGCCAGATCAAGCAAAGAGATGGGAAAGTTGAAAGAAGACAACATGAATCGATGCTCGACCCTTGATTAAGAGATGGGATTAAGAGAGGATTCCAAAACATAAAACTCTTACTTGGTTGTTTGTTCTTAGTCGATGTCCGACCTGTGATCGGCTTCTCTCTTGGGTACTCTTTGTTGATCTGTTGTGTCTCCTCTGCAATCAATACTCTGAGTCGAGAAACCACCTCTTTTTTTCTTTTGTGCCTTCTCCAAATTGATTTGGTCCCAACTTTCTTCAAGGATCCTTAGTCATCTGACTTCATTCATCTAAATTAATCTCCTCAACGAGATTCTCGACTTCTTTGGCAATCCAAAGCTTCGTTACCTCCTGCTGTTTGCTTGGAAAATCATAATCTATGAGATATGGCGAGAAAGAAACAATCGACTTCATCAGAATATCAACAAATCTCCGGACTCAATCATCTGCAGCATACAAGTCACCATCAAAAACATGATCTCAGCTTTCCGATCTGAGAACCCAGCAACAAGAAGCGACATCATGAAGCTATGGATCTCTCTCGGCTGATTTCTTCTCTTCGTCACCATCCATCCTTTCCACTTCTCAAAGGAATGGGCTAGGCTTCTTACATATGGGTTCAATTATATTGTGTAACGGGTTTTTCATATACGGGCTGTAAACTCTTATGGCCTTAATACCACCTTTTAATTTTATGCAACGAATTAACAAAAAAAAAAAAGACAGCATGAATCCATATTTGGAAGCCAATATATATATATATATATATATATATATATATATATTTACATATATTATGGTATGATAAAACCCAATATTATATTTTGAAACGAATTAATATTGTAATATTTTAGAATTCTCATAATGAGTTTGATTATTAAAGGTTAGTCCGATATACTAAAGGCCAAATCTCTTAATATTTATAGAATTATTTTACAAAATAGAAATGTAATGTTTCTAATTATTGATTGTATTTTCCTCTAAAAAAAAATACACACACATATTTGGCCCAATAAAAATACATTTATATATCATTACTTACTCAAATGTATGTTTTCCTATACACACATATTTGGACCAATAAAAATACATTAAAAATTTCTTAGAATAGAACAAAATAATATATAGATATAGATGTCTTAAAAAAATTTACAATTTCAATCGTTTATAACTATAGATAATCATCAAACTTTTATTATTATAAATTTTTACATAATCGTTTAAAATAACAAATAGTCTCGCAGTGTACCTATAGATATAATATCCAAAGATATAAGTACATTTAAATAAACAAAAAATAGGTTATATCTATAGATAATCTTTAAAAAAATAAATTTTTAATTTTTTTTTAAAAAAATTTAAGCCCGCGGTGTACCGCGGGTTAATCTCAATAAAGTCTCATATTATAAAATTGTCTTTTTCATTTCTATAAATATATTAACACTTATTTGTCTGAAATATAAAATAACAAATAAATACAATAACTCTTTACAGATATAATGCATATAAAATTTTGTACTACCACCACTTTTTTTTTCTTTTGTACATAAAAATAATAAGAGATATCATATTTCAATATTTGTAACCATAAACAAAATTTACAAACCAACACAAATACTTGCACATATATATAAAGTCCTTACACACTTTCAAAACTATTTAAATATACAACAAACACAATAAGATGATACGTAATTTACACACGCCGTACATTGTTGCTTACTAAATTGTAATCTCATTTTTCTTTATTATTAGAAATATTTAGACATACAACATACTAATCGTACAATGAACACTATATAGATTTTTATATACATTCTAATCAGACATGTAAATATGTAAATAGGTTATATAAATACGTATTATTAAAATATATATTGATTTTTCTCAAACAAACATATATTATTTTTTAAAATAAAATATAGTCCCGCGGTGTACCGCGGGTCAATCCCTAGTATGACAAAAACTACGTGGGGAAATTCTCAAACATTATTAAGATGTTTACTTTTTATAATTGAAAACACATAAATACAAAAATAGAAGAAAATAGTATGAGACTATGAGTAGTTTACTTTGCCATTTTTTTAGAAACGTTGATGTTGAAGAAGATGCAAATTTTGGTGATGACGTTAGAACATTGAAGACTCTTTGTCTTTATATAACTTTATATATTAAACGATAAACTTTATAATATTTTTATATATTAATCTTTTTAATTTTAACATATAAAATCAACAAACCATCCTTAACCAAAAAGGTAGCATAACACTTGCGTAACTATTTAGAATAGCAGAGCATTTAGGCTGTTAAAGGAACAAACATGATTGTCCAAAAAAGAAAAAATCATAATTCTAAAAAACGTAGGCTCATTTACCACCAGACTCATTATTAATGATCATTGGAATTCTCAGCCTCCTCATTACTTAATTCTTGTCTACAATCATATCCTTCAAGCCTCACTCGATCCATAAGCACATCACAATTGCGGACTTCTCCTCTCATGATGTTCAGAATACGCATAGCATCATCAGTCAAATCAGTAGGATCGGGGTATAGAGTAGTGAGAAAATACTCCAATGTGTAGCTCTTCAAATGCTCCAAAAAATTAATTGTCATTTGTCTTTGTTCGTCCGTGTCTCGTGCATCAGAATCATCGGCCTCGGGCTATTATCTACCTCGAATCCTTCTTGCAACAAAGTAGAATTCAAACTCTCTATGCATCTGAGGAGACATCGTATCATATCTCTGATTTGGCTTCTAGTAATGGACTGAAAAATACATAATCCATACATTTTTATATCAAAAAAAAAAAAATCCCATATTTACACATTATGTACACCGTAAAACAGATACATTATACGAAAAACTCACAAACAAACATATATACAGACTTAAACTTACAGTTTTTCTGAGCAAGTCTCGAACGATCTAAAGAAGCTTCATGGCAAATGCTTCCGTTTCTTCTGTGAGAAGAGTTTTCAAGGTTTCAACGCGAGAATCAACCTTCACCAAAACCTATCATATTGTTAATTTTTACATGTGTGTAATTCTAGTTATGGTGTTTATTTCTCTTTTCTTTTAGTTCAATTTGAGTGCATATCATACTATAGACAATGTCCATTAGAGAGATTGGTGATCCCTCTTCACATTTTCTATGCTCCTTCTAGCTATCACATGACTTTGGAATGCTACTTGTCTACTCTTCACCTATTTTCTAAAATCTGTATTCAAGTTTTTTATATAATAATTACTTCTTATTTGCAACTTAATTTCTTTTATAAAAAAATTCATATTTGAAGTGAATTATTTAATTATCAAAGCTAGACATTCCTAGGTTCACTATAGCGAAAAAAATAATCTTTTAACGGGTTAATCTACAAGACTACAAGCCAAAGAAACCAATTGCTTTACAACCAAACTCATTTATCAATTTAACACAACATTTTGATTCTTATGGTTTTTCTCTTCTCAAGAAACCAAGCAATAGTTTTAAACAAAATTTAATAATCTTAAGCTTAATTATCCGTCCTAGCTCCAACTATTTAGTACTTCACAATGTAAAAGAGCCAAACTCTTACCTCCTCAGGAGGGTCACTTGCCTCAAGGTGTAACGCAAAAATGCTCAAAAATGTTTCAGGTTCCATGTATATATAGTAGCACCAAGGGACGATCACACACACTCTCATGTAACTGGGAATCTTTAACAACATCAATCAAGAAAATATAAGAAGACGAGTAAAAGAGGAAAGGTCCCAAATACAAAGCATGTCACATCATCTTCTAGATAAACCTGCTCTCTCTTTTTGGTTTATCTTAAAAACAACATTTTAGAGTGTTCTAAGACTTGAAAATATTTGTGTTATGACAAATCTTGAGGAAAGCCTTCATCAGGTAGATCTCGCACATCTGATGAGTCCTCATAAACCAAGTAGAATCTTCACCGGTAGCAGTTTGCAGCCACTAAGATTTTTGATCGTTAGTGCAATAAGATCTTGATGGAACATTCATAACAAGTCCAAGAATATGAAGCTTTTTATTAAATCTATATAGTAAGTGGCAAGTTCCAAACCACAAGTTCATAACAAATCAAATCTGTAAACGTTGCAATTGTTTGGCTGCTTCTTTGGCTGCTTCCTTAGCTTTGAATTTGGCCCTGTGCTTCCTAAAAGCTTTGAGCATCATGTCCCTTAAACGCTCAGGTTGGCCTCTCACAAAATCTTCATTTCTAAATTCCATTTCCCCAGACTCCTTCTTCTTCTTAACTCTTCTAAAGCCCTACCACCAAATATAATACATAGCAAGATTCAAAACTGACATGATTCCAAAACTCGGAGGATATAAACAAAAAAACTTACATAATACTTGAGCTCGGAGAGAAACTCTGAGAGTTTTTCGCAATGAAATCTCCAAAGTATCTTACTTCGGATTCGCTCTTCCTCATTACACATGACGAAACCATTGTTGCTTTTGCTCCACGAGATTATTGGATCCGATGAAGGATCTTCCACAAGTTTATACATTCCGATGTAGAATGTACCCAATCCATTTGGGAAATTTTGACCCATCCCTCAACAACACTTGAATCGAACAACAGAAGATGGTGAGACTTGAGAGACACGAGTCCCAGATCTGACGCTCTCTGAGAAACCCTGATTCTGAGAATAATCAACCCTAAAACTTGATGTATAATTTCTGCGGTGGGCCTTTTTAGACTTGGGCTGTCATTAGCACAAATCCGTCCCACGATAAATAATGGTCTTTAATGGGCCATCGACTCCGCAACATGGTCAAGAAAGACCCTACAAAGATATGTGTCTTCATAGATGAGCTCGTAGCGATGAGCTCAAGTAGTAGAAGAAAACTTGTCAATGTCATCCACCAGGTCAAAGATCTTGAAATCTGCGAATAGAGCGCATCAAACCGAGATCGACAGAAGCAATTCCCTTCGATTGGAGGCTATACTCTATACAAAGACTATAGAGAGGATGATAAGTTTTACACATTCTAGTATTAATCAAACCCAATTCGTCGAATCAAGGTCCAAATACATAAGCTAGAGCACGTTCTGTATATAGGATGCTCTCTAATAACAGCACATCATGATCCACCACTAAGTCAGTAAATTAAGAGGCATGCATAAACAGTTTACACAACAAGATAAAGCCAAAAGATGATAGATTTTGAGACTTTGAAGTGAAAACAGAGCACAACCCTACCAACATATATCTATCTATTAATGCATATATTCATAAGATTAAGGATTTTACTTAACTATAGTTAATATATTCTCTAAAGTTGTACAGTAAGTCTAAAGCCCTACCAAATGATATATAACAAGATTCAGAGAGGATTCTAGTTAAACTCGGAGTATAAATTTAACTCTGAAATATATACTATAAAGTATAAATTTCTATAAGCTGGGTGTATACTGTATAGTATGCATCTTTGAATGAAAACAGTTCTATCAGAGTTAAAAACAATTCTACAATCTAGAGAACTTTGACTGCTGACAAAAAAACAAACCCTCTTTGACAATGTCACCAAAAGTGATAAAGATTGCTTTTGTCGGCAATGTTTGAGTTTATTTTAGAGTTTCCAATTCTATAACTTGAAATATTTGTGTTAAGACAACTGGATCCATAGATTTATAGAAACTTGCTTTTCACGCATTTAGTTACTAGTAGAGAGTATGAGATTTATTTACAAAAGAGTGGAGATCAAATCTCAAATACGCAAAACAAAGCAAAGAAACGCAAACACAGAAGTCCATAACTTCAAAGTCACTGACCAAAAGATTTCTTTTTAAGAGGTGTGCGCCATTACATATATAACTAAGCACAACAAGATGAGCTCACTGCCCTATCCATGGCCCTGTCTGGGAGAACCATTCCTGTTGGGTTTTCTGTTGGCTGTACTCGCGGTAGCCTTCTTGCTGTACGGGTCAAAAGATAAAGTATGATAGGGTTTAATACGAGAGACTGAAATTGTTTGAACTAATTCTTAGAGTGTAAGGAAACCTCACCGATTTCATAGAATATCTCTTTGACATTAGTGGCGGTTTTTGCTGATGTTTCCATGAAGAAAAGACCGTTTTCTTGAGCATATGTTTGTGCCTCCTGCAAAGGATCAAGAGTGTGAGATATCATCAGGAACTAGGCTAAGCAGTGAGATTCAGAAACAAATTTAAAGGGTTCATATATTGTCTATGTAAATAATGCCTACTTCATTGAGATGCATATATCTGACACACAACAGGTCAGATGTTTGGTTATTTGGATACTAAACCGTGTTTCTCTGTCCTAGCAAGTCACAACTGAACTTTAATGCACAACGTAAATGATCAGTCTTGAGAAATGAGACTGACTAAAATCTAGGCTTTTGGCATAAGAGAGTAAAATAAGGACAAAAAAAACCGTATTGCGGGATAAGTAAGGTCATATGAAAACATCTATATCATTCTCCAAAGCTGGTTACTAAAAAGGCGTCTTTTTGAAAGCGACTAAATCAGTCTCGAAAGCTGGTTAGAGAAAACTGCTCTATACTTCTTGATGAAAACTTAACTATCTATACAACAAGCCTAATCTATGATTTGTTAAGTGGGTGGGGTCTGTTTAGGTGGCTTGGTTTGTCAGGTTAATGTCATTAAGGTAGATTGTAATTTTACAACAAAGAAATATCACCTAATGGTTTGGTTCCAGTCAAAATCCAAACCTCAGAATGAGAAAAATCAGTCAGGACAGAGAAGGACTAGCTTACCTCTGCAGTCACCTTCCTTGCATCTAATAAATCAGATTTGTTTCCAGCAAGGGCCATGACCATATTAGGGTTACCTATTCACACAAATATATTTATTTAGTAAAAACCCACAGACAGAAACTAAAGCTTGACAGTGCCTGCAACTGGTGGAAGTTATAAACTATTAAAATATTATCAAATAACGGAGCATAGCTATACAATACCTTGTGCCTGCAGTTCCTGAACCCATTTCTTTGCCCTCTCAAACGAGGCCTAAGAAGATAGCAAAAGATTCAAATAAACATAATTTAGTAGAACGCCACTGAATTGCATCTACTGATCAATAGAGAGCATGGAGTTTTATCATTCTGTACCTGATTCGTAACATCAAAGACAATGATTGCAGCAGCAGCACCTCTGTAGTACATTGGAGCCAAACTATGGTACCGTTCCTGACCCGCTGTATCCCAAATCTCAAACTTGACAGTAGCATCGTTGACAGCTAATGTTTGTGAGAAAAAAGCAGCACCAATCGTTGATTCCTATAACATAAACAAATATCAAAGTCAAGAAGCACACACAGAATGTGAAAACAAGAAGATGATCATTATAATAGAAGAGCCATTAACCTGGAATTCAACAAACTGATCTTTGACAAACCGTAACACAAGACTTGATTTTCCAGCACCAACATCTCCAAGTAACACCTGAAGACTTAACCAAGTAGTACACAAAATAAGTTAAAAAGAAAAAAAAAACAATTAACGATGTTTGCAAGCATCTTCATATCTATAATTCTGGTTCGATCTCGATAAATCCCTAAAACCCTATTACGAAAAAACCTAAATAAAAATCCAACATAAACCCTAACTCATCAAAATCCGATCAAAGTTGTCCAATTCAACATCACATATCAAAATTCTCCAAATTAGAAACAGAATCACATCCGGAAACTGAAAATCTAACAAAAGGGTCTGCAAATTCAATCAATTTCACGATCATTGGAGAGAAAACAAAAAAAAAATCAAAAGGGAGCTCAAAAGAATCGAGCTAATAAGACTGACCAATTTGGCGTTAATGCTCTTGTTTCCAGCTGCAGCCATGATTATGGATCTGAAGAGAATCGGATGCCGATAATCTTCAGCTCAAAACTGAGATTGAAGATCAAAAGAAGACAAATAGGCAAAAATATTTAGATAGCGGAAACGCGTCGTCAACAACAACCAATCTCCTCCTCCTGAATTAATAATATTGCTCTCTTTCTACGAAAAAAAAAAACAATTAGAAGGAAACAAATATTACACGGCAAGTAAATATGACATGAAAACTACGAATATGCACATTTGGTATCGTTGGCCCAATGTAAAATTCAGGCCCAAGCCTTTTTGGGATAAAGCCTCATTTGCTTTTTTGAAAAGAAAAACAAAATTACATGACACTCTATAGAAATTGAAAACATGCCCATGCAATGTTTTTAAACTCGGACCGGATTGGTATGTCCAGACTCCAGATTACTAATAAAAACCAAAAAAACTTGGATAAAACCAGATTAGCCCGGCTAAAACCCACGAACCAATGGCTCAACTGGCTAATTGTTAAATAAGTGAGATTTTTTATTTTGTAGTTTGGATGATTTTTGTAGAAAAAACTTTTAACGGATTTAAATTGTAAACACATGTAGTTTGTTCTATACTTCTATGTCACTATGTGCATGATTGTATAAAACTGCAAATAAATTATTCAGTATGCATAGGGACTGTTGTGGGGAATAGTGGGAATAATTAGTGTATAAGCTTTTACCAAAAAAAAAAAAAAATTAGTGTATAAGCTATAAGTATTAAAAATAGGGTTGCCGCATTATTACGACGTGTTGCAGGTTCTTGTTTTGGTTTCTATAATTGTAATTGTGCTTGAGCACTAAACAGATGCACAGCAATTCAAAATCTAGTTAGAGGTATAATTCCTTTTAGATGCTCTAGAGTGCCATTGACTTTGGATAATATTATTATGCATTCTCTGTTTCGCTTCAGCAAGTTGACAAAAAGCAAAATCTTTATATAAGTGATATCAAGGTGTTCTAATTTCCACATTCTTTTCACTTCTCAGGCTCTTATCTAAACTTTGCATACTACTACATAATCAAAACAACTAAAGCCACACACAACGCAACATAAGCCATGACCATAGACATCTCGTCTCTCATGTTTTTCCCCATACCCATACGGCGACAGCTACTGTAATCAAAGCTGACATAACCATCATCTTCATCTTGTTAACCATCTCACTGCAATTTGGAGAAAAATTAGATAAATTTAATCAAACTGCATAATCAAAATCCCAAATTTAGAGGAAATGTTGTTAAATTTGAACACTTTTATAATAGCAAAATTTCGATTTTTTTGATAAAGTTTAGAATTTTATAACCTAATTGCATCATTAGATGATCAAATTCGAAATTCGAAGCTCGTTGGAACACCGCTTGGAGCTTGTCCATGTGTTGACCGTGATGAATTTGACGAGCTCATGATTTGAAGAATCCGACGAGTAGCTCAAACTCTGTTTTCCCCAAATATGAAGAACCCTTGATGCAAATTATTTACCCCCAAATCTGACGAGTCTCTTCTTCTTATTAAAATACACGACGTCGTTCTTAACTGGGTCTATCGGGTCAAAGGCAACAGAACTCGGATTAAGTCAAACGCGGTACAGTAATCGCGATTTAACGGTTTAATCAAGTTTACAATCGAGATTATCTGTTTCAATTAGAGGTGTAGACATTTGAACTAAAAAACAAGTTGAGGTTGTTTTCTAAAGAATAAATGAAGTTTATGTCGATTTATGAAGAGTCGAAAAGTTTGGGTCGAAACGTTGAGAACGAGAATAGTACAGGTCGTAATAATGCGGCAACCCATTAAAAATACCATATCTTTGTTGCTCATGAACTTGTAAGATTCTTCATAAGAGTTTTATATTTACATTAGAAGAAAGAAAAAAGGAGAACTCTTTCTTCACTGTGTTTTCTCAAGAGTTTTCTTCAATCCCTTAACTATCTTACCAAACCACATCAAGTTCATGACACTCAATGCAATCGGTACAACGAAAACCAATAGATAACCGAATGTGTGCATCTGTACCACCTGCCAAAAAATCCATTGATCATCAATTCATTATCTCTAAAAACCAATACAACAGAAAAAAACAGAGTAATTCCTATTTTTCCTAAAGGCTAGACCGTTTGGTTTAGAGATAATTAAACCGAAATCTTGGTTACCTGATCATAATGTATGTAGACATGGTAAAACATGTAGATGAACAGAAGAATTCTTGCTGTCTGCAAACAAAAACATGAAGTTTTTTTTAAGATAACTTAAATCCAATCAAGTTTTAAGACATTTTACGGATTTACAACCAAAAAAGGTTTTAAGAAACTCACCAACCAAGCAAAGAAAATAGCAATTCCATTAATAAGATAAGCTTTAGATCGCTTTAAACCAGCAATGTCAAGGTACCATCTAAGATTGATCTCTGGTGTAGTTACTTCAGAGATTAAAACCATGTATGTGTAAAGCTGAGCCTCTCCAGAGAACAGAGAATACGCTACTGCTGTTCCGGATAAGCAGTGATGGAATATCTGAAAACAAAATCAAGATTTGTCAAGTAACTGAAACCAATGGAGAACATATAAGTTTTCTTGTGTCTAACTTACATATTCTGATCCTCCTAAAGAAGGGTATAACCAAAAGATCATTCCAAGATCCGCAAGAAAGTAACCAACTGATACCTATGCATGAAAACACATCACAACAAAGTACCATATAGGTTGATCAATGTTTATATGAGTAGGACTTATGAGACAAATGACAAAAGATGAAAACTTACTCCTAAACCAAAGTTAGAGAGAGGCGAGCTACGAAACACCGTAAGGCTTTCAAGGCTTCTTTGGTCAGAAAACATATCAGAGAAGAACACAAAGTATAATGCCATGAATGAGATAAAGATCGCATGGACTGTAGAAATTCCCCTGTCAAGTTATATTATAAGCTAAAGTGATTAGAGACAAAGCATAACATATACTAAAGGCTGAAACAAGGAACCCATACTCACCTGTTGTTCCATTCAATTCTCTTTATTTTTGTGAGAGCTGAGTATGATTTGATATGAATTGAGCTGAATAACTCCGTAAGATCATATACCTAAGAGCATATATTAAAAACAGAATGAAAAACAAAAGTGTAGTTCTTGCAATTGCAAGTGAAGAGAAGCAAAACTTACCAATTTGCAGAGAAAGGTTCCAGCCAGAACAGAAGTATATGGAAGAAATGGATCTGCTAGTAAATAGTGTTCAACAAACTCCTCTGCTTGAGTTTGGTAAGATTTGATCTCCATGACTGTCCTAGCTAGTTCTCAATTTCTTCTCTGGTGAATGGTTTTAACACTTACTCTTCACACTAATCCCTTCTCTCAAGCTTCATCATCATCATCATTACTGAAATACATAAACAAAGAGCAAAGTAAGAAACTTCATTTATGAACAAAAAAACAAAAGTCTTATCTTTTAAAGATGGGTATACTGATAATCAGAAAACCAAAGAAACAAAACAATCAATCTTAAAATAAAATTTCTTGAATCTTCGTTATACCCAAGAAGAAGAAACTAAAAGACTCTGTTTTTTAAGTTTATCAGAGAAAACCCAATTTTGTAAAAAAAAGGTTTAAACTTTAAAACGGACAAAAAGTTGAGACAGAGGCAATCAACACGTGAACCGCAAAAAGCTGCAGAAGAAACGCAAAGAAGATGAAGAAGAAGAAGGACGTTACAGAGACGATTACTAGAGAAGAAAAAAAGGTTATTTCTTCAGAGACTTCGAGAAATTATCCAAGTAAAATTTTACCAAGTAACTTGAAGCGCAAGAGGTTACAGTAATTAAAAAAAAAAAAGAAAGCAAAAAGTAGTTATCTTAAGAATAAGCTAGAGATTTAATTAAAAAAATATAAAGAATAATCGAGAGAGAAGATAACTAATGTGCCTAGATAGTTTTTTTTTTCCTTTGTTTACTCCAAAAATTGACAAAGAAAATCAAATCTTGTTTTGTTTAAAGGTATGCTTAATAGTTTGTTAACATGTAATTAGGGAGGAAACAAAAGGAGGAGAAAATTGGTTGTATATAACCTTCTTAGACGATTTAAATGGAGTGTGCAGGAAAACCTAAGGGAGAAGAGATAAGTTAATTAATGAAAATAATGTATCCTTAAATATTAAAAGCACCAAATCATCTTGTTTTTGGTTGTGATCATATAAAAGGTAAGGTAGGTGGATTTTAGGAGGAGCCAAGGATTTTTCTTTTTATTTGCAGAAATTTGGGTAATTTGGCTTATATAATGTGTTGCAAGTATTATATATTATATAAAAAATAAAGAAGTTACGAAAGAAAAAAAATTATTAAAGATTTAGTGAATAAGATTAATCTACACATATATATATATATATATATATATATATATATATATATATTAATGAATATCTAATTATAATTAAAATTTTACCTCAATAAGACATTATGTTTGGAAGAGAATCATAAATAGTTTCTCATACCTATATATATATATATTTATTAAGATTTTATCATACCTATATATATCTATTTATTAAGATTTTTTTTTAAAAGTTGCTGTCAAAAGGTTCTGAAAAAAAAATATGTCTATGCATGATCAAATCGAAAAGAAACTCTATAACCAATCTGAAAAAAAAAAAAAACTTTGTTTTACTAAAAAATCAAAACTAGTATAAGTTCATCCGAGTAAGCCAGGAGGTTTATTATATAAAAATTTTAACAAAGCAAAATCATTCCTCTCAAAGATAACATATAACATATGCAAGTTAAACAAGACTCAAGTTATCTTTTTTTTTTTCTATCATCTTGAACTAAATGCAATTAAGATAGTCAGAAATATTTTGAAATTGAAACTAGTGATTAAAAGAATACTTGTTATTGAATGTTTGGTAGGCGTTTTAGCTTGAAGATGATGACCTAACTTGAATTGAATCTACCATGGACCACTTGAAATTGACCTAATAAACAAGAGTTACATATTTATAAAATTAAAATCATAAAGAAGAACAAACACATTTATGTTTGAAGAAAAACTCACCGTTTCTTGCTGCCTTTATCTTGCATAGTCAAAGAAATCACCACTTGGATGGGTTTTGAAGTCGTTTTATAGTTATATATTGAAGAATTTGTAACGTTCATGTTAATAACACGATTTCGTGTGATATGTTTATCACTTTTGACACGTCTAAACTTGACAAGTCTATTAATTCGGTATTAAGTAGGGAATAATATCTCACGTCAAGTGTTTTAAGGCCAAGTGTTGATGATGCTCTAACTGATACCAATATGATATTTCGGAAACTCTTAGGCACATTTTAGAACTTTCTGAGCCGTAAGATTCTATTACACAAATATTAACATTTTGAAGTTCGGAAAAAAAAAACTTAAGGTCGTTTCTGGTATATTACAAAAGTTTAGGGGCTTCTCTGAAATTTCCACCTTAATTTTAATCCCCAGCAAGGTTTAGCAAAGTAACTGAGATTTGGCTATGAACCCTAAGAATCTTGGGGAAATGGTTGATTCAAGCGCGTAATAAGCCCTAATTTCAGGTAAATTTTCTTGCTTGGAGATTAATTATTACTTGTTGGATTGAGAATTCTTCATAGTTCTCTATTTGATTGTGACTTTCACCTGTTTCTCTTTGTCTTCAGGTTGCGATGTTATTGTGCAGAGAACAGAGAAGAGTTCATAAACTGTTGAATATGATTTCAAATCTCAACAACTGTATAGCTTTCTCATCAATTCCTCGTCAAAACCAAGTTCAAAGGTCCGACCTTTCTCGTGTTTCATTTACATTTCGGAGTTTTCAGATTGAAAGCTGTCTTCGTAAGGATAAATCTGAGTTACAACAACACTCGTCTCACTTACCAACTAGGTTTTTCGTTAATCATGTTTCAAGGGTTAGTAGGAATCAAGCTCAAGAAGCTCTTTTTGATTACTTGCATTATACTAGAAGCTTTACTTTTACTGATGCAGAGCATATAAGTAAGAATTCTCCGTGTTTTATGTCGACTTTGTTGTCCAAGATTGATGATAATCACAAGGATGTATCCAGGGGATTGACTAAGTTCCTTAGGTACAATCCGATAAATGAGTTTGAACCGTTTTTCGAGAGTTTGGGTTTGTGTCCTTATGAGTTTGAAACGTTTCTTCCGCAGAAGCTAATGTTTTTGAGTGATGATGGTATTATGTTTGAGAACTTTCATGCTCTTTGCAACTATGGGATCCCGCGTGGCAAGATTGGCCGTATGTATAAAGAAGCTAGAGAGATTTTTAGATATGAATCTGGGTTGTTGGCGATGAAACTCAGGGACTATGAGAATTTGGGTCTTAGTAAGGCTACAGTTATCAAGTTAGTTACTAGTTGCCCTTTGCTGCTGGTTGGTGGGATTGATGCTGAATTTGCTTCTGTGGTTGATAAGCTGAAGGGGTTACAAGTAGGATGTGATTGGCTCGGGCGGTACTTGTCTGACCGGAAAACATATAGCTGGCGCAGAATTCTGAAGACAATAGAGTTTCTTGATAAAGTGGGATGTAAAGATGAGAACTTGAGTAGACTTTTGAAAACGTATCCAGCTTTGGTAATCGAAGGCTCTGGTAAGAAATTCTATGTTCTGTTTGGTAGGTTGTTTAAAGTGGGGCTTCAAGTGAATGAGATTTATAGGCTATTTATCGACAACCCAGAGATGTTGTCAGACAAATGCGTAAAAAATATCCAAAAGACGTTGGATTTCTTGATTGCTATTAGAATGGAAACGCAATTTATCACGAAGATATTGCTGAGTCATATGGAGCTAATTGGTTCATGCTCTCTGCCAGCACCTAGAACTGCTTGTCTTAGCTTGAACGTTAGACAAGACGAGCTATGTCAGCTCTTAGAGAAAGAGCCTTTGAGATTGTTTAGTTTTGTTTCTACAACAAAGAAGAGAAAAAGCAAACCTCTTTCAGAAGACTCGAGGAAATACTTAGAGAAGACTGCGTTTTTGTTGAGGCTAGGGTATGTAGAAAACTCGGATGAGATGGTGAAGGCTCTGAAACAGTTTCGAGGGAGGGGAGATCAGCTGCAGGAGAGATTTGATTGCCTTGTGAAAGCCGGTTTAAACCATAATGTGGTTACTGAGATCATCAGGCATGCTCCGATGATACTTAACCTGTCTAAAGATGTCATAGAGAAAAAGATACATTCCTTAACCGAACTTCTTGGCTATCCGATTGAATCCCTGGTAAGATTCCCGGCATATCTGTGTTATGATATGCAGAGAATACATCACAGATTCTCAATGTATTTATGGTTGAGGGAAAGAGATGCAGCAAAGCCAATGCTGTCACCAAGCACTATTCTCACTTGCGGTGATGCCCGGTTTGTCAAGTATTTTGTCAATGTCCACCCTGAAGGTCCAGCCATTTGGGAAAGTATAAACCAATCATCTACCTAAATTGAAGTTTTTTGGCTCTATTTCTTGACGACAGTGAAGGATGTGTGCTGATGCAACACTACAGATGTAAGTTTATGATATCAATGCCATATAATGAAACAAAAGGAAGGGCATGGAGAAAGCAGGAAGATCAGGGATTCATTAGTGTTAGCCGATACTTGTGAAAGAGCAAAAGTATCTGCTGAGTTACAGACTTGATGCAGATCTAAAATGTTAGCTCAAGCTAGCCCTACTGTGTTGCCCCTGTACTGCTTGAATTCATTTGAAGTGTTGTTCTGGAGAAGATCTGCAACTTGTTTGTTGGGAATTTTCCTCCTAAACCGCTCTGCAATAGCTTTCCTGTAGCGGGATAGACACACCTAACATTCTTGAATGAGACAGTACTAATGGTAGTGTGTTACAGTGGTTGCTGACACTTCTTTTAGCTTAGCTACATCACCTGTGACTCAGATGCGCTTTAGCAACAACAATATCGTATATTTGTAACATTTGACGATGTATTCCAAATATTACAATTTTCTATTTTTCAGTCCACAGTTGATGATGATTATGCAGAATGGCAATCAAACCAAACATGTATAGTTTCATAAACATGTATAGGATCAGAGAGTGTTTAAATCATAGAATCCCAAATAGATATTATTACAACGAAATCCATTAAAGTGTTTTAATACAAGAAAGCAACTGAAACAACAACAAACCCAAACCCATGGAATAAGTTTGTTTATTCATCTTAAACACACAAGAGCAAGCATAAGCATAAGCATGATGATGGGTTGTTGATCAAACTCGTAAAAGCTTCAAGCCATCCGCTGCTTCCTCTGCTTTTTCCTTGGCCATAATTTTCATCGATCTTTTATGATTAGCCTTTAGCTGCATCTTCTTCAAAAGCTCAGGTTGGCCTCTCACAAAATTAGTATTCCCAAATTCCAATTGCCCCGACCCGTTCTTGATTCTTTTAAATCCCTACCAGACAACAAAAACAAAAACACATATGTAGCGAGATGTTAAAACTGAGAGACAGAAAGAGATGATTATTGATATAGTTAAATCTTGCAAATCCAAAACTTACAAATTCCTTAAGCATGGAGAAGAAGTTTGAGAAAAAGGGGCCGTGGAAGTTGGCAAATATCATTCTACGCCTTAGCTCTTGGTGATTCCATATGATGAAACTCTTGTTGCTTTTGCTCCATGAGATTATTGAATCCAATGAAGGATCATCCACAACCTCATATACACGCTTGTAGAATCGAAACAAACCCTTTGGGAAATCGTCAACCATCCCTAAACCCTCCCCCAAAACTTTTAATATTGGACAAACGAAAAGTAGAAATCTCAAACTCTTAAACCCTAAACCCCAATTGGACTAAGTAGAAATCTCAAATTCTTAAACCCTAAACCCCAATTGGACTCCTAATAGGGTTATATACAGAAGTGAAATCCCAATATTTTAAAATCACTATTAAATTTTAGGTACACAAATATGGAAAGCAAGAATATTTTAGTCTTTCTTAGGAGTTGCTGTCCAACCTTGAGTTCCAAGGCATTGAAAACTCTTAATAACTCTTACTAATGGAGATATAGTCAAGGCAAGATATGAGAGAGAAAGATGGTGATTATTCTGATTAGTTAAACTTTCAAATAAAAAAACTTACATGATACTTAATTAAACCCGGAGAAAAACAGTGAGAAAGTCCAGGATAATCTAACCAAAGTTAAGATAAGCTAAATACAAATTTTTAAGAGCACAACAAACATTTAAAAAAGAACCCTAATTTTGTGCATCTAGGTTCTCAATAGGAACTAGTGCAGACACTTTCCTCCTAGGCTTAAGCTTCTGGATACCAATTTCGAATTGAGGGCAGTTGGTGGTCACAGAGCTGTTACTTGATGTTCCTGCAACACTTATGCGTTTTCGTCTTTGTTTTTTCTCCTTTACATTGTCTTCATTCGTCTCCTTCTCTTTTCTACATACATCTCCTGAGCATCTCTCTAATCCTTTTCTCTGCTTCTTTTGTTGTCTCTCTGTATCAGCACAAAATGCTTCACTCTCACATTCTGCATCTGCCTTCTTCTGTCTGCATCCAAAAAAAGGTCAATTTAGATCCACAGAAGCATTGTGTGTATGCAGCATCAACTGCTGAGGAATATTCGATAAACTACCTTGGTTTGCGTTTCTTCTTCAGAGCGGGTTCTTCTGGCTCAAGAGATATCTCGGCTAGTGCCAAAAAATCGCCTACGACAAGATCTGGACGCTCTGATTCCCGGTCAACAAAATTACCTATAGTAGTTTCTTTTTGTAACCTTCTAGCTCCTTGTCTAAGATGTGCTAGGTGAGGATATAAGCTCCTCCATCTCCTCGCGCACTGACAGTCAGTTCGACAAGACATATATGAAGCAACTTTAGACCAACAATACCCATGTTCTTTCATAGCCACTCTCAACTTTGCATCCTCTTCCTTGGTCCACTTCCCAAATTTAAGTTTGGGATCTAAAGAATTTCCCCATCTCTCTAGACACTGAGTACCCGTCCGTCCAGGAACAAACTGAGCAATTTTACGCCAGTTTTTAGTTCCAAACAGTGTTACAGCTACTTTCAATCGTTTGTCTTCCTCTGAGCTCCAGTTTCGTTTCCTTGTTCTGCTAGGGTGGAGCGATTTTTTCCATCTGAAAGTATAGAGAAGAAGGGAATAAGATAACACCATTCAATTATCTGAAGTTACAGAGGAATAAACATAAAAAATTTACAGAAAATAACCCACTTAAATAGTCGTAAATCATACTGAAATATCATGCAAATTGAGGTTATTTTATAATCCCACATCGACTAAACATGGACTTGATGGGTGATTTATAAACCCATGAGTCTTTTCCCAACCAAGCTAGCTCTTACCCATGTTTGGACGATCAGCTTAAAATTCATCTGACAAAATTGTTCGTATACTACAGAATTTGATATACTTATTCATCAAGAAGATCACTGACCTATTAGAGCACTGAGTTCCAGTTCTTCCTTGTAATATATTTGCAACAGATTGCCAGTCTGACTCGCCAAACAAGTCTACTGCGGCACGGAGTTGGTCATCTTCCTCTGCAGTCCATTCTTTTCTCAATATGTCTGGATTCAAGCTTCTCTGATATCGAGCCAAACATTGAAATGGGGTCCTATTTGTACCTAGTGATACTGCAATGTCAAGCCAGTCTGTAAAACCCTTGGTTTTGGTAATTAAGCGTATGTAATTGTCCTCTGCTACAGTCCATGGGCCGTTGTTAATCAATGGATCATCCGAGCTCATCCACCTACAATGTGACCGCACAAATCAAGAAATCAATCCATAGTTGAGTAACCAGAAGTTCAACTAGAGGAAGAACTTACCGGGCTTCACATTCTGCAGCAGAACGGTTCTTGATATCCAATTGATCCCAATTAACTTTCGGAAGAAACTGCCTCATCATTTCTGGTGTGATCTCAAGACTTTTTATCCCTTCAAGAATGGTGTTTATATCATCTGTAGATCCTTCCAAGTCACTGTTAAATAAACAGAAAAAACTTTAACTAATTCTGCATCTGAATAGATCTTTAAGCATCAAGTTTAATGCACCAGATGTATGATAGCACTTGAAAACGAGAGCAAGAAGCAGTACCTCGACCGTTCAAAAGCTTCACGAATGAGTGTGTCTTGAACTTGTTGTTTTAGACCTTTTGCAAGATTTTCCTTCTCCTTAGTAGTCCAATTTGCGCGATCCACGGAAACTGGATATTTCTCTAGTGCCATCCTATAATTTGCAACACAAGCATTTTCCGGCGGACCCATAGTCAAATAAGATGTCTTTTTATCATTACCCTACAAGAGAATTTAAAGAAACATTTTGCGTCAGGGCACTACTTTATTAATGAATACAAAACAGAGCAGAGGCAAGTAACACTAGATCAAATTGCGTTCATTACCTTGGAGCTATCTGAATCAGGCCTAGATTTTGGTGTTGAGATTAACTCGACTCGAGGATCTTTCCCTTGAGAAAGTGCCTGTTTAGTAATTCTCTTGCAAGAAGCTTGAAAACCTTTAACTATCTTAACATTTTTCCTGTGTTTCTCGTTCTGCTCAATCGTTGCTTCGATTTCACTCAATTTTCTTCGAAGAAAGCTCTGATATAACCTGTTCTTCCGGATTGCATCAACAAAGGCTAGTGCAGCTTCAGGGAAACCTGAACTTGTAGCTGGCATAAGAGATGATTGGCATGTCTCCAAAAGGTCAAGTGGCTCTGTAACAGCTGATTTCCCGTGATCTGGAAAGCTTTCACAAGTATTAGATCTACTCAATATTTCAGTTGAAGGTTCATCATCCGAGGCATGTACCTGCGTTTTCTTCTTCCCGGGTGAAGAATCATTCATGAAATTTCCTTCCACATCTACAAAACAATAGTAAGAATAGTTACCAATAAAGCAAATGTGCATACACATTATGATTAAAAGACAAGCAAACCTCATGAATCCATCATAATTTGTACTAGTGCAACCAAACGAGATCTTTCAAGTCATCATAAGAATCAAACATAAGCTAGAGACAGTGCATATATTCATTCATAAGTTTGGATAACCATAGAACCAACAATTCAAAGGTAACAAACAGAAACAAACTAAAGATATTTCACCATTGATCTCACCGAAATTTTCATAAGCAAAGAATCGTCTACGAACAGCGCGAAGAGTTTCAAATGCACCATCTTCATCTTCATCTTCGTCCATCGACAATGCCAATTGGCTCTTAATGCTCCGAAGCATTTCAAAATCGTTTTCACTCTCCGAATCCGAGGGCACTGATAAACCCACATTCGTCGTCGACGAAGCTAATTGACTCTTAATACTCCGAAGCATCTCCAAATCATCTTCTTCGTCATTCTCTGAATCTGACGGCAACCCTTTGGCCTCAGTGACGATAAAGGCTCGTCTTAATTCTTCGAGATCTTCACCGATATCGTCGTCGTCATCATCATCACTGTCAACCTCGTACAGGCCTTCGCGATTCATGGCTTTACACAAAGCAAAAAAATACGAAACAGAAGAATGCAAGAGAAAGGTTTATGGCTTCTTGTGTGCCTTGTGAGAGAAGATGAAGAAGCTTTTCTTCACCTACAAAAATCGAATTAGGTTTTTTTTTTAAACGGGTCGGGTCGGGTGGGTCAGGTCGGATGCAATTATTATTCGGTCAGATCAGTGGTTAAGAACCGGTTAACATTAAAGTATGTGTTACAGAGGTTGCTGACACTCATCAAACTACAATATCAAAATTTGTAACTTGTGTTGTGTAATGTCTTCACTTCCATATATTACAATTTTCTGACTAAAGAAGCAAAGCAAAAAGGTTCTTAAGTGCTTGGAAGGTTTCGGTTTTATACATTTCAAAAATCCATCTCCTTTAATACAACATTTCAAACCTAAAGCATGTGTATAAAACTAAAACCCAAAATGGGGTCTCCAATCTTTTCTAAATCAACCTATAAAATAGCTAATTTCCTCCAAAGAACTATCTCTAGTAGCATTACTTATATAAGACAGATTATGTTGGGTTCTCTAAGGCTTCTCTAAGAGAAGATGCTGGTGATGAAGAAGAAAGACAAGACCGCGCGATCTTGGCCTCTTTGTCTTTGCTATATGCTTTTTTAACGTCGTTCTTCAGCTCGTTATATCTCATTCTCTTCTGTCTTCTCTCTTTCACAGTGCCTTTCTCGGGATGCGACATATCAGGGATGTCTTCGTCCATATACTCATCCATGTGCTTATCAAGAACCTCAGAACAAGACGGGAAATACCTCCGACCTGTCTCAACTGCGTTGTTGAACGGTTTTGAATCAATCAATCTCGTGGTCAGAGAATATAACTTGAAAGTAAATTTCCTTATGCTTTTACCTGTTTTCATGAGGGCTTCCATACGTGTAAGCATTCTTTTCGTTTGTACATAAGGCGTTTCATTTAAATCGACTTTACCCAAGTTTCCGGTTGTACCATTTGATGGAGGTGGAGTTAGAAGACCTGTGCACTCGCTTGTCCCTTCAACATTAGCAACGTCCATGGCCACATTAGCTTCTGCTGGGAAGAACAACTGAGCAAGTCCCACTGCAATAACACATACACGAAAAATCCAGAATTTTAATAAGAGTCATCATCAACCTTAAGCTATGAGATCTATATATCGAGTGGGTCAATACCTCGCTTTTCTAAGTATAACAACCTCATTTGGAGATCCTCAGGCATCGAATGGGAACAACTGGGTGTATCCCCACTAACCAATGGATTCCTTCTAATTTCCCTTTCCAAGATATCGATGCATAAGCGGTCTTTACTAGGTTCTTTCCTTGAGGTTTTGTTATGATAATCTTTTGGCCTAGTGAGTCTCCTACATATATTAACCGCACTGCGTCCATCAAACGTGAAATCCGAAGCATGAGCTCCTTTTTGAATAAGTGGTATGATAATTGTTGGCTCTCTACGCATAGCAGCAATATGAAGAACTGTATACCCTCTGGAATTTCTGAAATTCACATCAGCCATATTCAGATCAAGAACCTGGGTCACAACTTTCGGATCACTGTAAGCCACTGCATAATGCAGACCATTGGCTTGGTCTAGAGTTATATCTGACTCAGTCAAAAGAAGCTTCACGAGTTCCACATCATCTGAATCCAATGCCTTGAGTACTTTCCCGGTTCTCTCTAACGATTTATCCTCCTTCTCGGGTATGTTCATTGACTTAACTCGAAGCTGTTTTATTTTTTCTGATACCTCGAAAGGAAGCTCCTTTTCAATGCAGAATCTGTCTAAATCCGATCTCGCCACTCTCTCTACGCATTGATCAAGAAGCTGCGTCAAATCACAATGAAACGCAACCAAGACGATCGGAAGAACATTCTCGACTAGTGACTTCCCAACATAGCTACAAAGCTTCCGCTGCAGACACACAAACACACAACATTAAAGCCTTGACAAATTAAGAACAGCTTATTACCAGCAAAATCACAAAGAAACTTAATCTCAAACCTGAAATGATGAAACCAGGTCCGGGATTTGGAACACAAACGAAGCATACATCAACTCAACAGCAAAATCAATAGCCGGTTTACAAGAATCATGAGCACAAACTGAATCAACACAAGTCGAAACCTCGGTAGGAAAAGACTTCAACCTCCCAGTATAGATATAGTTCAAGAAATGCAGAAACGCCTCGCGTCCCACATTTCCATAAGGCAACAAATCTTTCATTCGATACTTTGGTCTCTTCTCACTCTTTGCACTACTATCTTTATCTTTCTTGAACAAATCAAGAAAAAACTTGCTCCTAGCTGCTAAAACACATCTATGAACACTCACAGGGTTAGCTTCTTCTTCAATAATGATCTCTGCGTCGGTATAATCGCAATCTGGGTTAGTGAGAAGCTGCTCCAAGTTAGAGCTGAGCTCTTCAAGATAAGCAGCTGAGTGATAAGTAGTAACAACAGGAGAAGGATTGGATAAGTGAGAAGATGTGAAACTTATAGATGAAGATGGCTCCATTGCAGTTGCAGCCATTTTCTTTCCCCAGAAATATCTATCCCTCAAAGACTCTGTTTTTGATCTTCAAATCCCTAGGGATACAAAAACCCTAAATCTAAATCCAATGACAAGAATCAATTTTGAGCAGTAATTGGATCAAAAACAATACAGAGAAGAACATAGATGTGAAATTAATCAAGCCCTGAAGAAAAGATCCGACCTTTATGAAAGAACATTCAAGGTTTCTAATGTGAAGAACAAAGTCAATTCGAGAAATGCTTCAAAAAGTCAACGAAAATGGCGGATGAGAAAAACAACCTAATTGAATCTTGAAACGTAAGAGAAAGAACTGAATAAATGGGTACTCTTCAAAATCATTTCTTTGCACAAATGAAATGATTTTAAGTCGAAGAAAGAATAAAAAGACGATCTCAGAAAAAATCAGAGGTTATCTAAAGCTAAAGGTGAGAAATAAGAAGACTGACCAAATAGTAGTAAAGTCTTTGGAGAATAGTAAAGAAAGAGCCAATTCAATCTCCTAAATTTTATGACGACGATTCAAAAATCGTAAGCAATGTCGTCAGCAATCGAAGACGACTTGAGTTGGGGTGAAGTGGGTCGATGACGTCTTAAATAACGTCAGCTTTGAAAAATATACACAAAAATGCAAAGTAGATTGATGATAAGTGGACCCAATTTAATGGGTTATGTCTACACAAAAGCTCAAGATACATGTATTTGTAAATTTGAAGGTTGCTGTTTTTTATCTGAAGAGCATGAATAATTGAATATATCAAACTTTTTCTTTACTTGGTAGTTTGGTACACATATATGATGATACCCAAATTCATTTTGATTAGTTTTTTTGTTAAAAATTCATATTGATTAGTTCTTGAAAGACAAATGTTTTTTTTAATATATGTTTATTGATGCTACTAAAAATAATTTGCTGAGTCTACAAAGAGAACTAGGCCTGCGAATTCGGTTTATTCGGTTAAAACGGTTTGGTTTTCTCTGTTTTCGGTTTTTGAAAAGTCTTACCGAAAATATATTTGGTTCGGTCGGCTCGTTGTCTAGATTGATCGAATGGTAAGCCAAAATCCTCGGGAGCTTTGAAGGGTTTGGAAGAATGTCCTAAACTAATAAAGCATTTTGATGGTTGTGTTAGATTTGAGAATTGTGGTGGAAAGATTGTGGTTTTATGGGAGGAGAATGTGCGTTTATTGGTTCTAGTACTAAGAAGAAGATGATTTGGTGTGCTGAGATTGCGATTGAAAGGCGCAACGATAAGGAGATTTGTGGGAAGGTTCTGTGGTGGGACGTTGTGCTTACAGTCCCCAAGTCATGCCAATTCGAACAACTTCTTGTTGCTACTATTTGATGAGCCAACATATGAACCATTGCTTTGACATGGTAATATAAGTTCTAAACAACTGCACTCTGTCTCTTCTCTGCTCTTCTCTCCATCTCTTAAGAGCCTTTACGTTAAACGGCACAACACCAAAGTTAAGAACATATAAATCCGTAAGAACGTTAATCTTTCTTGCAGGATTTGTTGAATGGAGATGATCAAACTCTTCTTTTTATAATTGCAAATAGTTTCATCACAATTCATTGTTTGAGTTCATCAAGAATCTAAAACCCCCCAACAATTTCTTTCGAGAGCGAGATACTCTCGTTTGGCCTCTCCGAACCAAACCAAACCGAATCCTCAAAGCTATTAAATTACCATTCTACTCCTTTCACTGGCTATTATACTCTTCATAGTAATCATCACTTATAACAGACACAAACCTCTCAAGCCAAGGAAGCTGATGAAGATCTTTCATGGCAGCTTCAACATACGATGACTCTGTACATGGAGGCGGCGGTGACTGATAAGAAGTATGGTGATCACTGAGACTAAACCCTCCACCTGCTAAGAACCTTTGGATCAAAGCAAGCTGAGATCTTTCTTGCTCTGAGTAAGCGTCCATTACAGTTGGAATTGAGTTAAATGTGTCCCAAGGCCATTGCTCAACTTCTTGAATTGTGTTTTCTTCTACTGCGTTTTCTTGATCTTCTTCATCATCGTCCCAAAAAGCACAAGTGCAAGTCTGTTGCCCTTCTCTGTACTCTGCTCCACATGAGTAGCAAAACTCGTGCCCGCACCTGCGAAAAAAACATACAGTTTTTGACATTTATATGAGTAAGAATCACAAAGCAAAGCAACATTTTCTCAAGAATAGTAGATTTAAACATGGGCGACAAAAACAACCTTCAGAATCACATGGTATAATAATACCGCATTCAAGACTCTATATCTTATTGGAAGTCAAAAACCTACGTTTGGTATATATACATGTGTCTTACCGGCAAGTCATGTGGTTGCAGCCTTGAGAAAGCTCGATCATTATACGACATTGCTGACATCGTCTCCACCTCTTATACCTTGCCAAGCGATGCAATGTAATATCATCTGGATATCTTTCATCAACCGGAAGAATCTGAAACTCTTCACAGCTCATGGAAGCATGCCAAGGAACACCACAGTCCACACACACAAACCTCTCACAGACCGGACACTCCACACAGCAGCTATTCTCTGACTGAGTAGACGAGCTTGAGCTTGCCCTTCCTGATGATAGACATTCTTGCGGGTCTAACAGAAAAGAGCAATTGGGATATGGGCAGTAAATCTTGCCATTATTCTTACTACGCACATTTGCTTCCTCGAATAATTTGAAAGTAGCGACGGGCAGAAATGATTTGCATTCCATGGCTGAGAGATAATGCTTGCATTGCTCTTGAGGACACCTGATGGGAACTTCTGAAGACTGTACTTTCCCTTCGACGTATGTTTTCATGCAGTGCGAACAGAATTTGTGAGTGCACTTCAATGTTAGCATCATCTCAGACTGACGGTCTTCACAGCAGATCGAGCAGTTCTCGGTTGGTTTATCCCCATGGAAATTAGAAGACACGATTCCTACCGCTACTTGAGCCAAGCTTAGAGCTTCATCAAGATCACAAAAAGGAGCAAGCTTTAGAACAAACCCATCAAGGTTACTTGATTTCTCCAATACCCTTTCTCTCAGAGCTGCCAAAAGAGGGATCTCGAGCTGCTCCTCACAAGTTATCTGCAAAGCCAATTCATATGAAAACATGAGGTCAAACATACAAAGAGATACGAAAACATTTGAAAGCAAGTTTCTTTAACAAACTAAAGAAGAGAGACTTTACCTGGTTATAGAGCAACTCGGAGTCAGTTACAGCAACCACAGAGCGGAGGTTGTTCTGTAAAGCTACCTCAAGACCATCCAATAAAGCTAAATAGTTAGCTACAGACTCTTCAACATAAAAATCCAACTTCTTCTGAACCTGAATCAACTCAAAATCTCCAGATCTCTCCAACACAACACCAATTCCCGAGTAACCAGAACCCGAATCTCCTTTTTCGGATATCGAAACTCCTTTAAAGAAAACCTTAACAGAGAACTCATCATCAAGTTCATCTTTTTTCTCCTCCTCTGCAACTTTAACTGTATCATCACTCTCCTTTAACCAAACTTCTTCATCACCACAACAGCTTCTAAACTCTTCCTCATCTCCTATATGATTCAATGGAAGCTCCTCACATCCACAAGAATCCTCTTGATTTTCCATGTTTGGCAACAACCCAACTAAACTACAAAAAAGTACAAACTTTCTTAACTTAGCAACAAACTAAGCAAACCCAAATCGGATCTGCAGATTTCATGAATAAAAATGTCCCTTTTAGATATCATCTAATCTCAATTCTACTATATACTAAGAGAAAGGAAAGAGAACAAAAATAAAAAGATGAACTTTATATTACAGATCAACAAAACAGATAATCTTGATGAAGTTACATCAACAGATAAGCATAAATCAGAGAAAAATCATTTGAAGTATACAGAAAATAACAAAAGAAACAGCTCAATTTGTTGACCCACTAAACACCAACCAGACCCTCAATTATTACAAATTTTAGGGGAGAAAAAAATAATCTAATTTAATTAAGTAGCAAAAACCACCAGAGATTTACTAATAAAACAAGATCGGTTTAAATTAAAAAAGATCATTAAGCAAGAACACAAAACCCAGTAGCCTTCTTACCAGTGGAGGGAGATTTACACTTCGAAATTATGAAGAAAACACTAAGCTAACATCTTCAAAATCTCTGATTTTTTTTTTGCCAAGAAAAAAAAAAGTAAACTTTACTTTGTATGCATTGTTTTGGATGTTTCTACTGAGTTTTGTGGAGAGAAGAAGAAGAAGAAGAATCATCCGTTTTTCTGGTTTTGCTCTCTCTTCGAATGGCGTAAGAGAAAAGTTTTACTTTTTTGTTTGTTTCTTTATTCTCTTTTTTTTATAAATTAATTTAATTATTTTTCTTCTGGGTTTAGGCTTCACTTTGCTGTCATTCTCGTACTGTGTTGTAAGTTTTACAATTTTCCACAATGAAATATTTATTTTCACATTAATAATCATCAAGTATTTAATTTAAAAATATATAATTAAGAAAATTTAAATGATTGAAACTGTAATGGAATTGGATTAGAACCTGAGCATGAAGAATTATAGCTTAAGAAATCAAAGAAGCACATGGAGTTTGTCTCCTCTCAATAGAGAAAAGGCTGTAACTTCATACAAAAAAAAATTCTTTTTCTGACTTTCAACATCCAATAGTTATATTCCTTTCAATAAAGATAGCAAAAAGAAGTACAAATATATATTTAAATATATATTTAAATAATTTATATTGCTGCAATAGAAGACACTCAAGGACAGTTTGTGGCAGCAACAAGTTTGAAAATGGAGACAGCAATCATTAGCTTAATTATTTTAATTTTTAACTTAGTTCAGATAGGAATTTTGAATTATTATGGACTTGTTTTTAATAGCTTTATAGCAGTGTTGTGGCAACAAAAGAAACAGTAATTAAACAGAGAAAATATACAGAACAGAGATGTGATTACTCTTTTATTTGAAATCTTGTATCAGTTTTATTTTATTTTAATGCATTTGAAACCCTATATTTCATTTTGAATGAGCTTTGAGAAAATGACAATATATGGGCTTATTGAGACAAAGCAATTTGGCCCACTATAAAATAGATGGGCTACTCAGATTCATGCTGTTTTAACATATTTAATTTAGAGATGTCGGTAGTTCAATTTTATTGTAACGCTAAGTTAATTCTACGAAAGTTCATGCCTTGTTTGGCATGATCCATACCTTCCACCAAATTAAACAAAATTAGGATAATGTACAAATACAATTTTTTAAAACTTTTCTATTTGATAATGTACATACATGATCAATAGAATCAGGATTCTGATTCTCTAGTGTAATCTTTTTGTATTGATTTAGTCCAATAATCTATAACTTGACTTTCCAAATCAGCACCGAGAACAAGCCGGCAAAATATTCCTATATAAACCAACCAAAAGACAACATTTATCTCATCAAACATTTTGTATTATAAAAAAACTTTCTCTAATACTAATGGCTACTACCAAACTAGTCATGAAGCTCGTCTACATTCTCCTCATCCTATTCACCTTCTCCGTATCTTCAGCGATCGCAACGGCCCCGGAAAATTGTGACAGCGGCTCGGAGAATCCGTGCATCAACAAAGCTAAGGCCTTACCACTCAAAATCGTAGCCATTGTAGCCATCCTTACGACAAGCTTGATAGGTGTAACCTCTCCTCTTTTCAGCCGTTACATTTCGTTCCTCCGTCCCGATGGCAATGGTTTCATGATCGTAAAATGTTTTTCTTCTGGAATCATCCTTGGAACTGGTTTCATGCACGTCTTGCCTGACTCTTTCGAGATGTTGTCATCGAAATGTCTTAGCGATGATCCGTGGCATAAGTTCCCTTTTGCGGGTTTTGTTGCTATGCTGTCCGGTCTAGTCACTCTAGCCATTGACTCCATTACCACAAGCCTTTATACCGGTAAGAAAGGGGTGGGACCAGTACCTAACGAGTATGAAGAGTATGGCATTGACCAAGAGAAGGCGATTCACATTGTAGGCCATAATCACAGTCATGGTCATGGTGTAGTGCTAGCAAGTAAGGATGATGGACAGCTTTTGCGCTACCGAGTCATTGCCATGGTTAGTGGATATGAAAATAATATAAAACGGTCTTGGATTCAATGTAGCATTTTAACTCAAATCATACATTGATATATATATAACCATAAGCTATTTTTGAATTTCAAGAATAGGTATTGGAGCTTGGCATTTTATTTCATTCCGTGGTCATTGGACTATCTCTAGGAGCAACTAATGATGCATGTACCATTAAAGGACTTATCATAGCTCTGTGCTTCCATCACTTGTTCGAAGGCATAGGTCTTGGTGGCTGCATCCTCCAGGTACGAATATACATTCATAATATATAGTTTAACTATGTCTCTTATATCAATTAGAAATTTACGTTCATATATATGTATATAAATTTATGTTAAACAGGCAGATTTTACAAATGTGAAGAAGTTCTTGATGGCATTCTTTTTCGCTGGAACAACGCCTTGTGGTATCTTTCTTGGAATCGCATTGTCGAGTATCTATAGAGATAACAGTCCAACCGCGTTGATAACGATTGGACTGTTAAATGCTTGCTCGGCCGGAATGCTCATCTACATGGCCCTCGTCGACCTTCTAGCTACCGAGTTCATGGGATCAATGCTCCAAGGTAGCATCAAACTTCAGATCAAGTGCTTCATGGCGGCTTTGTTCGGCTGCGCCGTTATGTCGGTCGTCGCCGTGTGGGCTTAAACACTCTTTCAACATAATTAATTAATTATGTGATTTATTATTCAAGGCGACAAATACTTTCGCCTTTGTACATTTGAGAGTATTTTTAAAGTTTGATTCATTTATTAGTTTGTATAGTGAGATATTCACATGGCAATATGGCATTGTAAGCGTTTGAAAGAAATTATTTTATGACATTGTAAATTAATGTGATGTTTACTCTCTTCTTTGGAATGACATGTAAATAATTATTGGAGTTTGTTGATTGTCAATGTTAGTTATAAAATAGAAAAAATTAGGTCCGAAACACTAGGGACACGGATATTAAAACTATACGAATTAATACTATCAATTTAAAATTACTATATCTTTTTTTAATAAAGAAAAATAACTATATCTTACTTTGGTTAGATTTAAAATACACAATATTTCATGACAACTATATAACAATAAGAACTCGATGATGCACTATATCTAACACAAACATTTGTAGGTATGAATAGCTCAAACTAAAAAGCACATAAATTCGTAGGTATTTCATTCCAATTTATGCTTTTTGGCTGAAAACTGTAAATACAATAACAGACTTATTAATTGTAAATTTCCATACAGGTTTTGATTCCATACACCTGGAATCATATCAAATACTTGTAAATTCTGAACCTCTTGAAACAGGTTGAACCATTTCTTTCCAAAGTTTAAATGCATAATATATCTTGGTGTATAAGTTTTTAGGACATATATATACTATTAAATAATTTTGAATAGTCTTCAATTTCACTAATGCCTTAATCTAGTTTTGAAATTATCGTTGTCAAATCATACACACTTCATCCTGACTATAGTAGGTTTTGAATGTTTATAGTTTTTAGAATAATTTTTACTATTTTCTTTATCTCATATATATATATATATTCCTGTTTTTTTTTTCTTGCGCAATTTTATAAAACAAACGAAGTTTAGAATCACGCCAAATCAGACATTGACACAACATAAAAAATATTTCTTTTCCCGACCGGAAAAAAAAGATATTTCACCAATATGGAAAATCTCCCCAAGTTCATTCTATTTTATGTATCAAAGTTTACAAATAGACATATAAGCATTTTGTCACGTCGGTGGAGTATGAGTTTGGCACGTTTTGTTTCGTGCTCGTCCAACCATATGAAAACGTGGGAGGTAAACCACAAAACTAATAATATTATACCTTTTAAAAAAAAACTAATATATTATAAATCCAGTTTGATGCTTAATTAGTTAGTTAATCATTCTGTATAATAAATAAAAAGTGAAAATTCTAACCGAAGTTGACTTGTTAGGAGGCATGGCATGGAATATTGGATACATATATACTCGGGACTCGGCATGGACAGTATTGAATATACAGGATAATGTAAATAACTATGTTTTCTATATAAAAAAATTGTCAACTATTTTTTCTATGATTCTGATGATTACTTTTACTTGCATGACAATCAATCAAATTAATTATGCCTATATAACCATGCAAAAAAAGAAGAAGATTATTTCGAAACGACATGAAAATCAAAAGAATTCCTAATATACATGGAAATATGTATATAGTTATAACAATGAAGGTAGTTGATTTAGCACACAAAAAAAAAAAAGTTATAACAATGAAGTCAGTGACTATATGATCATGTAAAAATGCGAAAATATTCATAGATATCATTCTTCTAGGAGCACATGGATTGACACATTAAACATGTATGCCCGATTTCGTGGAAATCTTTTTGTCATTATCCTTTCCCCAAAAACTTAAGTTGTTACTAAACCTTGAAATAAAAAATTCAATTCAAAATTGAAAAATGACTTATATGGTTACTAATATATAGATACATAGAAGTAACTAATAATGATACACGTAATATTTTGAAAACTATATCAAGCTATGAAAAGAGGAATCTGTTTACCAAATAAATGAGGAGGAATCTACATTCATATGTGTTGTTTTTGGTGACTGGATTGCAACCATACACTGAACACGAGCTCGTCACGTGTGATGTTGTGCTAATAGCAATCCTATAAAGTATAAACCTAATTAAGCTTTAAAACTTAAATAGTACAAGATCAAAAGTAAACGTTTGTGAGAGTTGACTAACAGAACTATAGAAGACGCATGGGGTGGACTTCGACCGCTCGGCAAACGGCATGAACAATGCATTTAAACGATAACAAAAACCTTAGTTACGAAATATAGCCTTTTCCAAATTTAAAAACTCAGAAAGTTTACGAAACTATGTTTATATTCTGAAACTTGGAAATAGTTTTAACTTGAGAAAACTGATTTTCCATCAAATTATTAAATGAACATTGTTTTAAATAAAATATTCTAGAAATCTAAAAACATACCATGGAATTTTTTAAAACAAACGAATTGTCATTGAGTCGTATTTTTTTGATGGAAGAACTTTATATCAGTGATTGTTACAATATAATATAATGCAAAATTTAAGACATTTTGACAGTTGACTAATCAAAATCCCTTAGAAAAAGAATCAGTTGCAGAGCAATTGGATATTGGCATATTGCATATACCCCATTTTATCAATTTATGAATATATATTAACTAGATTAATATAAAATCTAGGTAACTTTAATTTCATAATTCTCCCATTATTCCTTTTGAACTATTGATTACTTTATTTGCTCGTTCAATACTGGAAGCAAACGAGTAATCAATAAATTTTCGTCATCATCGACAATAAATGGCATGAAAAAACCCGGCACACATTACTATATAACCCGACTCATCTAGTAAGTCCAAAATCACACAAACATTAAACAATCTAAACACACAAAACTCCAAAAGGAAAAAAGAAAACAAAAATGGCTTCAACTTCAACACTTCTCATAAAAACAATCTTCCTCGTACTCATTTTTGTCTCTTTCGCAATCTCTCCGGCAACTTCAACTGCCCCGGACGAATGCGGAAGCGAGTCAGCGAACCCGTGTGTCAACAAAGCTAAAGCTTTGCCTCTCAAAATCATAGCAATAGTCGCAATCCTCATTGCAAGCATGATTGGTGTTGGAGCTCCTCTCTTTAGCCGTAACGTTTCGTTCCTCCAACCAGATGGAAACATCTTCACTATTATTAAGTGTTTCGCCTCCGGGATCATCCTTGGAACCGGTTTTATGCACGTTTTGCCTGATTCTTTCGAAATGTTGTCATCTATATGTCTTGAAGAAAACCCGTGGCATAAATTTCCTTTCTCCGGATTTCTCGCTATGTTGTCGGGTCTAATCACTCTAGCCATTGACTCCATGGCCACGAGCCTATACACCAGCAAGAACGCAGTTGGGATCATGCCCCATGGTCATGGTCACGGCCCCGCAAATGATGTTACCTTACCAATAAAAGAAGATGATTCGGCGAATACACAGCTCTTGCGATACCGAGTCATTGCAATGGTTCGTACATATATATATATATGGAAATTTTAGAAACCGAATATTAATGGCATTTTAAACGACATATTACCGAATATCACTGTATCTAATTTTCTATTGATATATAGGTATTGGAACTTGGGATCATAGTTCACTCCGTGGTCATTGGATTATCTCTAGGAGCAACTAGTGACACTTGCACCATTAAAGGACTCATAGCAGCTCTTTGCTTCCATCAAATGTTCGAAGGCATGGGTCTTGGCGGTTGCATCCTCCAGGTAATAATACTATATATAAGAAAATTTTATCTTTCGCCAAATGTTGAAATTGTATATACAAACATCTAATGTTTAAGATAATTTCAGGCTGAGTATACGAATATGAAGAAGTTTGTTATGGCGTTCTTTTTTGCGGTGACAACACCATTCGGAATAGCTTTAGGGATCGCTCTATCAACTGTTTACCAAGATAATAGCCCAAAAGCTTTGATCACAGTTGGACTTCTCAATGCATGCTCCGCTGGATTGCTCATTTACATGGCGCTCGTCGATCTTCTAGCTGCTGAATTCATGGGACCTAAGCTTCAAGGTAGCATCAAAATGCAGTTCAAGTGTTTAGTCGCGGCTCTTCTCGGGTGCGGTGGAATGTCGATTATCGCCAAATGGGCTTAACTAATTCTCCACATATTACGGAATTGAAATCATGTGGATTTCATTATCGAACTAAAAACCGTTTTAGGTTTACGTCTCGATTCTCTATCGGTACTTTCATTTTCCCTTACAAAAGATTTGCGTGGATCTATCACATTTTAAGGAACATGTCTTTTGGTAGATATGTAAATGTGATAGGTCCCACGATTCATAGTTTTTTTTTTTTATCTTCCTTTATTTTGTCAAGGCAATATAGTTCATATCGTGTAATGTTTTTGTATCTCATATATATAAATAAAACTTTTGTTGCTTTTCAAGATAATAAAATTAAAGAAAAGAAAATATTTTTTGCAATGTAATCTATATACGACAAATCTGCATACCAATAATTGGAACATTAATCAGAATCACATAGTCTATATAGTAGCTAGGCAAGTATTGGTTCATTGTCAATCACTTGCATTTCGTCCCATACTGCTTTAATTCTCAAATTTATTTTTGAGTATTACTAGGTGTTGATATCCTTGTAGTTGAATTTATTATTTAATTTAAAAATGTGTTCTAATCGTTTCTGTTGATAAAATCAATATGTCTACCAATTGAACCCAATACCAATGAGTTTTATTTAAATGTCTACACATTCTAGTAATTCTAAAGTTTGCTTGGTAGAATAAAATTTTGACAAAGCAACAAAGTAAGGCAAACCAAAGAAAGGCAGATCACTGATTATAGATATGATCATTTTAATGTTAAGAGTTAAGACTGAATTTTTTTTTGTATGGTCTTCGATGGAAACTAAAGTCAAAGTTCAAACAAACAAAAATCAGATCCAGTCGGTTTCCAAAAGCTAGCTATCGGCCCATTTATGAAGGCTCACTTGATTTGGGTACGGACATGACTAGGGCATGAAGATAACTAGATAAGCCGCCTCTTGGACATTGATGTTCTTGTTTATCAGTCATCCTCTTCATGACTATGACCATGATCATTGAAGGTAGTGAAGAAAAGACATCATTCCTCAGTGAAGCAGAACGTTTCTCGGCATTCCTAGCTTAGCTATAAGCATTTTAGAGTCTCAAAACTCCACAATATTGTGCTTCAAATTTATGTTGTAATATATGTATCGTTTTTGGGTGGCCTACATCTCGAAAGAATATCGAAATTTAACTGTAGATTCATTCTGGTTTTACGTGGTTATCTCCTTCCTTTTCAAATGAAGTCACTTAATCCCCATTCCCCCAACATGGTCACCTCATTGAGGTTAATTTATAAAGTTTGCGGTGTCACAATATAAATGGATTTACATAATTCAGTATTCTTTTAATTAAGATGATGGTGGGATAAAGAGGAACATTCTCAAGGCTGATATGTTCATACTTCATAGTTCATACTCATGCAGTCATATAGGATATTTTCATGGCTCTTCTCACGATTTTCTTTTGTAGAATATTTCTTACGACTTATGTTTTTCGTCAAAATGTAGGTTACGGTAGAAAAAGTGTCCTATCAAAATTTCCGTTTGGAAAGTCGTAAGATTTTGTCATGTACATGATTTTTTGTAGTGAGTTCTTAAACAAAACCCAAATCCAACTAATTATGGCCACTCTCTATGTACCGTTACATTTTCATCCAAATCCAACTAAAATCTATTTTGATAAACCAAACTAAAATATTTATTATTATTGTTAGTGACTTGTTTCTATTCTAAATTATATTTGATTTGGAAAAATAAATAAGATATTGGATTGAGACATGGTATCGTTTCATGGACGCGAGTCACGCGATCATCCTAACTCGTGAATTTAGATATCGTCGTATTCATAGTTTTGTCTATACATGCAACGCACATGATAAGACCCAAATCTGAGATATTTATTGCACGACAACAATAATGACTATGCAATATTTTTAGTCGGATGGAGAAATATGAATCTTTTTTATTCATATTACATCTTGTGGACGGTTGGAAATACACGCAAGATGCTTCTGTTTTCAAACACCTCACGAGAGTTCGAATGTCATATAATAATTATTATATATAACATACTACCAAAAATAACAAATCTTTATACTATAAAAAGTAGGACTTTCATTAAATTTCAATAATTCTTTCAAAAATTATTTTGCAAAATTAATGGAGCGTGAGGAAGGACCAAGGAAGAAGAGAACCTACGATTTTGGAAGAACATCACCCATTCACTTTACATGTCTTGTCTCTAGATTCTTTTATCTATCTCTTCGGATATTCTGTCTTTTAAATAATTTTGGATCTTGGAATTTCATCTTCGAAATCGCCATATGAAAAAAAAAATATATTAACCAAGAACTAATGTACAATTATACTAATATTTTGCAAATTCTTATCAACATATCTTAAATGGTCGATGTTAGTTCCAAGGTTGAAATGGCTCTTCCGTCCCTATTATAGGACTAAATTAAGGTTTCTTGTCTACGATTTCGTCATTTTTGGAAGGTAGTTGCGTCATCTGTTTCTACGTGTGATGAATCACTAATTGCCTTTTGTATAGATGTTGGATGTAAATTACGATAAGCATTCAGCTGGCTTTTCTCAATTGATCACGATTAGATGAGCAATCTAAAGAAATTTGATATAGAAAATATAAATTTGGCAAAGTTGTGCCAACAATATAACAACAATACAATTTGTGGAAACATATCAGAATAAGCTCATTTAAGAAGTCAGCGCAATATAGAGGCTCGTGGTCATGAAATCAGTGGATAGAGTGCTAGACCCGATAACATAGCGATAAATTCGCTAAAGTAAACTTGTGCCACCACTTATCTTCGTTTTGATCTCTTGATAATAAACCGCAGATCAACAAATTTCAGTTCAAATGATTTATAATTTCATAGCAATGTTACGGGTCTAGTCACTCTAGCCATTAACTTCATGGCTACGAAAAGCAATTTCACAATTTTCCAAAAGTATGTGATTATTTTCGGTACTGATTTTACCTGAATCTTTTGATATGTTGTTGTCGTGTGCTTTGTAATATCGATTCTCTCGAACTTGTTTAAATCAGGTGCAACACTTGTTGACTTGTTGTCAAACAAAAAATAAACCCTTTTAGGTTCAAGTCTTGATATTCTGTCGCTTCACAAAAAGACGTGTGGTTATAGTCGTTGGATGATTGCTTCCTCTCGTCTTTCTAATTTTTCTCTTATGGATCTATCACATTATATAAAACATGTCTTTTGGTAGATTTGTAATGGGATTGGTCACACGAGTCATAGTATTTCTATGTTCCTTTTTATTCTCAAGGTAGTCTTGCCGTGTGATGTTTCGTCCATCTCTCAAATCTAGAGTACTAATACTAATTAAGAAATCTAAAGCCTAATAGATAGTGTATGGAGATATCCGAACAGCCCATTTGAGAAGCCGGCCCTTTTACACTTGGTCTAGTGAATTTTGTTTTGTGTGTTATTCCCGATAATCGAATCTTTTTATTTATGCTAGGCTTGATAATGGTAAGACGCCAAAAAAAATTAAAGTTTTTATTTTTTAACTTAGGCGATTATTAGTACTGTATTATCGATTTTTTTTTTGCTAAACAGTATTATCGATTTTAGTTAATTTTTCCGCTATAATATTTATATACTCGTCATATAGTTATAATTTTGTTTTGTTAACTAGTCTACAGAACCTTTTTCTCAATCATTTGCGGGGAAGTAGAGTTAATCTGTACTCAACAATCTATAAAAGTAAAATTTGTGAAATATTTAGATATAATTTTGAATTAAAATTTTGAATATAGAGAAATTGTATAAAATATGATTTTTATGTTTCTAAGTTTTAAATATCCCACTCACTTTATTTTGTCTTTAGATATATCATATATGTAAAGAAGTGGCTGTATGATGTTCAAAATTTCTATTTTGGGGGTTGTATGTTTGATATTATTCTAAAATAAACGATAATTATCGTTTAAATATCTAGATATTTCATTAAAAATTTATAAAACAGAAAACTTTGGAAACGCTTTACAGATTTTTAGAGTCCCCACAAATAATAGAAACATTTGCGCTTTGATGAAAAAATAAAAAATGGTTACAATCCAAATTTTTTTTTGTGCAACTGTTACAATCCAAATATACCTATGATTTGTAGAAGTAAATTTTTATACAAAGCTCCAATTAATCACTAACAATATTTTTGCAACAATCACTAACTATTTTTTTCCTTATTCCCTTGTTCAAACTAGTAGTATAAGCAAATTGAAAGATAGGGTTAGGTGAATATAACATAAAACTTTTGGTGAGGGTAAGTATAGGCATGTCAATCGGGCTAGCCCGGCCCGGCCCGGCCCGAAGCCCGCAAAACCCGTACATATTTGAGCCCGGCCCGGCCCGACCCGTAAAAATTCCGAGCCTATATTTTAAAGCCCGGCCCGGCCCTAACAGGGCTAAAGGGCTTTTTCGGGCTTTTTTGGGCTTTTCTTCCGACAACAAAAAAAACAAACTTATAAGTTATAATATCTCTTAAAAAATAATCTATATATGAAACGAGTCAATCAAAATTTAAATAACCACTAACGCTAATTTAGTTTTTAAAAAAGAGAGTTAAAATCAAATAAATAATCCAAATAAATTGTTTAAATTTATACAAGATAAAATATAAAATCAAAATAATTCAAATTAGGTAGTAGAGCTAATATTTGCTTTTTCGATTTATAGTAATACACAACAAAAAAACTATGTTTAGAGTTTTCAACTCTATCAAACAATTTTTTTACAACAAATCTTACAATTAAAGGAAAATATTAACAAAAAAAAGATCAAAATATTTTTTAAAGGGCTTTTCGGGCTAGCCCGAGCCCGGCCGGGCTAAGCCCAAAAAACCCTTTAGCCCGAACGGGCTTAGCCCGAAAGGCCCGATATTTTTTGGACATATATTTTTAAGTCCGAGCCCGCTGTTTTTCAGGGCTGGGCCGGGCTAGCCCGCGAGCTTTGGCCCTAATTGACATGTCTAGGTAAGTAACTATGTAATGTAGGGGCATGGCCAAAAGGAAAAAAAAAAAAAGTATGGGTAAGAACGAAGACATGGAAAAATGTGAATTCAAACTCTCTCTTTAATGAATTTCTGTACGAATCATCGCAGAGTCGTACCATTTTCATTTTCGCCACTATTTGGTTTCGTGCCATTTGATCCATATAATTTTATTACAATAATCTGAATTTGAAGGCATAAATTAAACTAAATTATTGGATAGAGACATGGTAACGTTTCTTGGACGCAATTATCGTAACTCGTGAATTCAGACATCGTATTCATCGTTCTAATTTCGTCGTTTATAGATTTAATATAGGATATAATTTTAAAAACCCATTTTAGTGGGGGTATTTTTATTTTGTCTAGACATGCACTGCACATGACATGATCCGAATGGACCGAATATGAAATATTTATTACACGACAACTATAATGACTATGAACTGAAAATGTCGTTGAGACAATAGAATTCAGACTATTTCTTTTTTCTTTATTAATTTTAGTTTTCGATAGCGAAGTATGATTCTTCCGGTTGAATATAGTTTGCGGGGTTGGAAAGATAAAGGATACTTCCAAATTGCAATAGTATATATCCATAGACAATTTTTATACTTTTCTTCAATTTATATCGACATTGTGATAATCTAACTAAAAAAGGTGTTGGATAGATAACATGTGATCGACTTTGAGAATAAGCAACCAAACAACGGTGCAACTTAAAAAGAACTCTGGAATATTTACTTTTCAAAACAATTTCGAATCACTTTAAATTCATTTATATCATTTTTTCCCATATATAACGAGAGGAGGAGCGTTCAAATTCTCTTCGACTTAAATTATTTCGTCCTTTTTGCAATTTCCAGTCTTGGAATCCATTGAAGTCGTAAGAAAATCAAGAATTTTACCAAAACTAATTTATACGTACTTACAAAAAGAAAAGAATCATTTTGCTATTTCTTTGCGAATATAATCCTAAGAAAAAACTAAATATAAATTAAATTTTAACGAACAAAAAAAAAGAAAATGGTCAAGAAGACATGTTAACATGCACACTAGCGTTCATGACCGAATCGCAAACTGGACAAGTCCGTAACAAAGCCGAACCACCACAAACCGTACACAAACACAAATGACGACATGGTAACACCAACACACTCGCTTCTCTCTCACCGCACCGTTTACAACCACCACTAACCGCCGTAACCGCTTCACCACCACCATCACCGCAGCAACTTCCACAACTCGATTCCACGTCGTCTTCTACAACGGCTGAAGCGGTTGGAAACGTTTCGATCTGAGCAAGAACTTGGTCTAGGTTTGTTCGAAGCGTATTAGCGTTTGCTTCGTTGGTTTGAGCGATATCACGCCAAATCTGAGTTTCGACGTAAAGACTCTTCACTCTCTCTTGTAAAACCCAATTAAGGTTTCTAATCCGTACGATTTCGTCGTCTTTCTCTTTTAGTTTCTTGGCTATAGCGTTTTGAACCGCAGACGCTAACATCCGCGTTTGCGTTTGTTGCCTTGCTTCAATCTCTATTCTTAGCTTCTCTGTTTGCTGAGCTACGAACCTATCGATCTCTGATTGTTGTTGGTTTTGAATCTGAGACACGAGTTCAGCGTTTATCAACGACGGTGGTGGTGAGTCAAACGCGACGGACCTCCGTTTAACCGGAGCGTTTGAGTCGCGGAATTGAAACTCTCGCGGGCGTTTTGTAGATGGAGGAGGAACCGTGAAGTTGTAACTGAGACCACTTTCTGATTTGTTGAAGTTGGCTTTAGCAGCTAAAGGGTCGACGGCGAAAGATTCTCCGGTTATTAACGGAACTTCACCGCCGGTAAAATCAAACTCGCCGTGATTCATGTTTTCTTGAAATTTAACACAATCTCTGCAAATAACAAAAAGAAAAAGATTAGAGAAAAAATAAACAGAGGAAATTTGTTTATGAGAAGAAAATAAAAATGAGATTTTTACCTGTTTGATGATATCAACTGAGAGAAAATGTTCATGTGATGAGCTTGAACAGCCATTGTTGTTGTAAAAAGCTCCGAGAGATTCTGAAACAAAGAGAGAGAGAGAGAAGAGGGAGGAGTTGTGGCGACTGGTGAAGAAATCTATGGGATTGGCTTTTATTTAAGGGAGAGAAAAAGTCAATATTTTTTAATTTTTCTATAAATACATATTTATTACTTTTTAATATTTAAATATTTTAGTTATTTAGAAACAAGTATCAATTCAAACAAAATATTTGACTTTTAATGGTTATATTACCATTTGTTTTTAGTAATTAAAGTTTTACTAAATTTAATGTTGATAAAATGGTAGAAAGTTTTTAAAAGGAAAATGAAACAACTAATTTTATGAGCTTAAAAGGAATATAATTTAGAAAATAGTATATAAAATATACTAATTTTTTTATTCAACAATAGTACTATCTTTCTTGAAATTCGCAAATATTGGGACCTGTAAAAAAGTAATTATTTTTTTGTAATATTTCTTTCTTTTTTTTATTGATGCAATGCACTCATGTATGTTTCCTTAGCAACAGCCACATAAACGAATGTAACAGTGAGCTTGACTAGTCAAAGAGACATTATAAAATCAATATTTTTTTTTTGCTAATATGTTAATGATATTAGCATAAACTGGAGTAGATTTGTTTTTGTTGAAAAAACTATTAGATTTTATGTTCTTGTTCATCCCTTTTGTATTTTCTAAAATTTTAAAATGAAAATTTTATAAAAATGTGCAAAGCTGTTTTTCCTTAAAACATTTTTTAAAATGTGCAAAGCTGTTTTTCCTTACAAGCATTTATAAAAATATGTAAAGCTGTTTTTCCTAATAAAAATTTATATTAGTTCACTGTATTCTGTACAAAAATTTCCAAATAAACCTCTCTTTAGTCAACCCATATTTATCTTATTAAGTTTCCCTTATTTTGTGATAAATGTAATTAATTTTCATATCAAAAGATAGTATTAAATATGCATACTCTTCATTTTTTCAGTTTTATTTTATTTAAAATTTAAACCACCCCCATTATTTTATTTTTACCAAACTCTAAGATTACTTTCGTAATTTTATAACATGTTTGCCATGTCATGTTCCACGTGGCATATTTGGGACTTGTGACCATATTACTTTTCTAAATTTTCCGTGAGCTAGTTTCTAGATCATTTAGCGGTGCATGTATTACATTTTATTTAAGGGAAAATTAGAAATAAAGGAATTCTAAAAAAAAGTTTGACCATATACACTTTTTTTCTGAGAATGTCACTTTGGACTAAAATACCCTTACTCTCTATTTTAAATATTTTTAAATGATTTTACTAAAAAAACATGTAGATATACAAGATTATAGATGTTTTGTAAAAAAAAGTTGGTGATTTAGTTAAAAAAAAGTTGATTTTTTGATGGATAAAATTTCGTCTAATATTATTAGAATACGTTTTCTAGTGTTCTACGAATATCAGTGTTTATATTCTAAACTTTTGTACATGTTCTACGAAAATCTGAATTTGTATTCTAAACTTTTGTACATGTTCTACGATTTTTAGATTAGATATATGTTCTAACATATTCAGAAGAGCGGAATACAATTTCCAAAAATCAGTAGAACATGTATTCTATGCTTTTCTTCATGCTCTAATTTTAGTCAGAAAATCCATTCTACGATTTACTACATGTTCTGAAAACGTTAGAAAACGTATTATTATTTTAGAATTCATTTTCTGAAATAATATAGATTTCAATTTCTGAAATTTTTAGAATTCCTAAATATAGAAAGTGAATCTTTCAAAAAGGAAACTAAATCTACAAATTTGGAAAATCGAATATATAAAAATATTTTTTTGATTAAGTTCTACAAAAATAAAAATACATATTTTGAAAAATTTAGAATTAATTAAAATATTAAAAACGTTTTCTCTTTAATAGAAAGCATCACAAATTATGAAATCCACTTCTTGTAATGACTCTATAGTTGAAGTAACCGTGCTCGGTGGAGATTGTTTTTTTTTTTTTTTGTTCAAACCGTGGAGATTATACTAATGCTATTAAAATAGGAGACAAATTGAGGCAATATTTTAACTTTAAACATTCTGTAAAGTTGAATATAAAGAAACTATTTACACAGTGGACAAAGGGAGGACGGGCACACGAGCCCATCTTTAACATCCCAAATTGATACAATAGTTTTTTTTCCACGATTTGGACTAAAACGGATTTATAATTGGGGTTTGCATTTTGGAAGTAAAGCCTCTATTCTATTTAGAGTTTTTGGATTTGGAGATAGAAAATAATATTTTTTTAGTTCTGTAATTTATTTTAATTAAGGGTATAATTGGCTTTTAATTTTTCCAAAAACCTATTTCACCAAACTTATCTAGATAAAGTATAAATGGACAAATTTTTTTAAAAAGATCTTTTATATCTAATTTTCCCTTTATTTAAATACTTTAACGAAATGACACAAAACAATAATTTAACCATCGTAATATTTCTAAGGTAATATTTTGCTTAATTTTGTTTTGTGGTAACTGGTTAAAAAAAGAAGTAAAGTTGCACGTGAGAAGCGTGTAGGGCCATGATGTGAAGATTGAGGCCACGTCTAAGTGGGACCAAGAAAAACTTTCTGTTTCATTTCTTCGTGAAATTTGCAATAAATTATTAATTCTTAGAAATTAATAAAAAGGTTAATTGTTTCGGTACCACCATTTTGTTTGCTTCTTGAATTGTCGTCTGGTCGCTTTTTAATTTTTAATAAGTAATTTCCGTAATAAAGAAAAAGAAAAGGAAAGAGAAAATCGGAATCACTCGATAATGTTTATAGTACGGACAAGTAGGTGTTGTCATAAGTGTGTGATTTCTTCGGTGTGGGACAGGTCGACCACAAGAAAAAGATTAGTCTTTTCTTTTTCTTATTTTCATGCCTTTTCTCTTTCTCTATTTTTATTGTTAATAATTTTTTTATCCACTATACAAACATTATCATGATGCGAATCTAATGTTTAGTCATACCAATTTTTATGCATCTTCCTTTATTTTTATGTTAGTTTTTAACTTTTAATATTATAGCATCGTTCAAAAATATCAAACAATATTATTTGTTTTTTTAACCTATATATCATATCTTTTTTGAATTCAACAACATAATTATGAAGATTTAGATTTTTGTGTAATAATAGATTTCCCAACAGATGTTATTTATAAAAAAAGAAACAATTTATAAGACCAAAACACGATTATTTTTCTTAAAGTAATACTGAACAATTTTGAGGATAAACCAAACTCGTCGAAAAAGACAACTTCGGTTGTCTTTTCTTGCTCAACTTCATTTGCATTTATATTTTGTCGACATATTCGCTTGTCTAATTCTCGATTTTGCTCCATTGTCAGAAACTACGCCTAACATCATCGCTTGTTCAGAGCTTTTATCATTTTAGAATAGACTACTTATTTGTCTCATTATACGTTTTCAAATTCATTTTCAATTTCTATTATTTATGTGCATTTCTGAAATAAATATTGATTTCGTAAGTTAGACTAACGAACAAGATAGATGGGGACGTACGTGGCCGAGTTCATGCCTTGAAGGAAACGTGACAAGATAGAAACTAATAACTTTTTTAAAATAAACAACTAGTGTGAATTGAATTCTCTAATCGTATAAATATAGCTAGATAGTGTCGTCAAATACTTTATTTTATAAACACATTATAGATTGCGCCTTAATCTTTCTTATCATTTTTTTTTAGTAATTGCCGTAATAGATCGATCATGAGCAAAAATCAAAATTTAAGTTTCTAAAATTATAATAAATTAGATATTCTTATCACCTAACATAGAGACTACAAAAAACTACAACAATTTTCCATAGATGATCGAACTTGATATTTGATTTTGATCCACTTGATAGTTCTCAAACTATATATTCAAAGAATAGACCAACTTTTTTTTTGCCTATGTTTATATTGTGCCTTTTGCAGTTAAACCTTTTCACTTTTGTTTTGTTTTATATGCTATGTGTTATGTATGTATAACTTTCTCTTTAATAACAGATAACGACATTTATATTTACATTCATATAGACAAGGAAAAATGCTGAAAGAAAGTTGAAGAACGACAAATATATAAACTTTTGAAAACTCGAATTGGTCCATCCTTATCAGCACCAACTACTAGTAGGTGTCATTCAGATTGATCCACCCCGGCTCGGTCTATCACGGGTTTAACGGATGACATATTAGGTCAATCCGGCTTTTGAAGTTCACGGGTCAAATTGTTTTTTTATTTTATCAAATTCTAATTTCAGAATTAGTCTAGTTTATCTGTGATAATTAAAAATATATCTTTACGATTTCAAGAGTTATATAATTTCTTACATATTGTGTATATTATATGTAGGGGTGTCAAGTTGGTTAAACCAAACCAAACCAACCCATATCCATATTGATTTAGTGTTTAATGGTTAATGAATCAATCCAATTCATTTAGCAAATGGTTTGGATTAACCCATAACTCATTAAATGAGTGGATTAATGGATTTAATGAGTTGATCCATAACATAGTTTTCTTATAATTTAAATCCTAATTAATTGATAATTAGTAACTATCATGTTACCACCACCATCATCATCATCACTCCATCATCAACTTCATCACTCCATCGTCATCAATTCACCACCACCATCATCATCACCATCACCGTCGTCGTCGCCGCCGTCGCCGCCGTCGTCGTCGTCGTCGTCATCGTCGTCGCCGTCGCCGTCGCCGCCGTCGTCGTCGTCGTCGTCGTCGCCGCCGTCATCGTCGTCGTCGTCATCGTCGTCGCCGCCGCCGCCGTCGTCGTCGTCGTCGTCATCGTCGTCGCCGTCGCCGCCGTCGTCGTCGTCGTCGCCGTCGCCGCCGTCGTCGTCGTCGTCGCCGTCGCCGCCGTCGTCGTCGTCGTCGTCATCGTCGTCGCCGCCGCCGCCGTCGTCGTCGTCGTCGTCGTCGTCATCGTCGTCGTCGCCGCCGCCGTCGTCGTCGTTGTCGTCGCCGCCGCCGCCGCCGTCGTCGCCGCCGCCGCCGTCGTCGCCGCCGCCGTCGTCGTCGTCATCGTCGTCGCCGCCGCCGTCGTCGTCGTCGTCGTCGTCGTCGAAATACTTATAACTATGAATTGGTTCATAAATTGATCACAAAACGACGACCAAGGACTCCATGAGTGACGATGAGGGATCCGAGTGTCAGTGGCTTTGCCGGTGAACGGCGTTGTTGGCTTCGTCGTTTAACGTTGTCGATGGATTTGCCGGTGAAACCATAAGATTGAGAGGGATCGACAGTGAGAGATTTGACGCCGAGAAAGATCGATGGTTAAGCGATTTAAGAAAATTATGTTTATTTCGGTTTACCAAATTCGGTTTAGTGATTCAATTCGGTTATATTTGGTTTACATATTTGATTTCAATTATATAATTTTTATTGGTTTGGTTATGGATAACCCAGTAATCCATTTTAAACCAAACCATTTCAATCCAACTCATTAAACTCATTAAACCATTTAATCCATTAATCCATTAATATCCAAATTTTCAACTCATTAGATCCATGAGTTGGATTGGTTTGGATTGATCCATCAATTTTAAACCATTTTGACACCCCTAATTATATGCAACTTTTTTTAATACATGTACATTTATCACCACATATATAATAATTTCTATACTTAAAGTTAACTAGTGAAAATCCATATAAGATATGGTTAAAATGTTACAATCCTAATCCGTAAAATACAAGACCCGATCGGATTGACTTCTTAATAGATTCTTACTCGTATTTTCAATAAACACCCTGACTACCACATAAAGTTGTTAGGTCATTATTGACCACTAAATAAGGGAAAAAAGATATTTATTAAGTAAAATTCAATATAATACAAATATTATAGAGAATATATATGAACAGTTGATCCTCACTAGATTACTCAGTAATATGTGTCTTAGACTTCCTAGCATTGGTGATAGATTCCCTAAAGCATTGCTTTTTTCTATATCATAAGTTCGATATTTTTTTTAATTTATATAAATGATATACACATATTAATAATTTCGAAGTGTATAGTAATGTATTTTTATTTTATAGACTATTTCTAATAAATGAGAGGTATAAAAATATATATTGTCCATACATAGCTAGAAATCACCAAAACCTTAATTTCATAAAATAAATATGAAATAAGTCTGAAACATGAAAGGGTCCTATTTATTGATTGATTGATTCTCCGAAGCCACCACTATTTCTCTTTATTACATGATTGCATTGATGGTAAAAAGATTATTTATATATTATTCAGTAAAACCATTTGGTTAGAAGGAATCGTGATGTTTCTGGTGCCTGGTGGTATATATATTGGTTCGATCGTCTTTCTTTCTTAATTTCTTTCCTTTTTCTTAAAAAAGAAGAGGAAATTAAATTTCGTAGAATGATATTTTAAGATGAGGAATTCTTTTATTCAACAAACATATTTATAAGAAAACAGAATCGATAATTTGATTTGCAAAAGGTTAATTTCTTAGGGCATCTTGATTTCGCCGAGACGTCAACATATGAGTATGACTTTATTTTGTGGACTTTCTTTGGGTATATATACGGCATAAAAAGAAAATTTCTTACGATACATTGTGCATATGGTGATGTGAATTTGTTTTTTTTGAAAAGACATTTCATAGACGTAACAACCGGACTAAAGCAACGTGTAAGTAAAGAAAACACGAAGATAGATAAAGTTGAGCTAGTACTAAATAATTAAATTAGGAAGATCCAATTACAATGTATATATATATATATATATATCTAATTTCAAAGTAAAAGGTTCATCTATGACAAACAAAATAAAAATAAAAGGTTCATCTAACAGCTATATTATAATAATTAGGTGGTGATCTAGACTTGAGAATTGATAATTATATTAATCATGATGTAGGATAAGATATACTAAATTAAATAGTGCTTGCTAAGTTGGAGAAGGGAGGGCATATTAGGTGAAGATTTTTGTGTACTTTTAGAAACACATGCAAAGCTTAAGAATAATTAGTGGAGACTGATCAGAACCTACGGCTAATTTGTCTGTATTATGATAATGACATTATAAACTTTATTAAACATCTAATAGAAAGTCCTATAAATGCTTAATCATGTGACCAATTTGTAGATTACTTTCTTTGTAAATATTATTTTAATTTTTAATACATGACTGTGTCTACCAGCAAACAAACAAAATTTATCATATGCCACAATAACTCACTACGTGATTTAGTAACAACAATATTTAATATCTAAATTTATATAAGAAGCTCTAGAACATATATATGTAAGAAGCTAGAAACAAAAGCATGGTATTGTATTAGTTATTAAGTCTAATGAGCCCTAAGTTACAAAACTTATTGGTGCGAACTGCGAAGCATCGAAAAAAGGTTACAAAAGGATTCAAAAATGGTGGACTACACTTGTAGAAAGCAAAAAGAAGAAAAGTCACTTTGCCTTTTAACCTTATTTTCAAGTGACCTTTTATTTTTTATAAAATAATTTCATAATTATAAAAACTAAAAAGTATAGAGTAAGGGATAATGGCAATTATGTTCTCATTTCTCAGCATCCTTTTCCTTTTAACCTTCCTTCATGTTTGCTTAAGTCATTGGGACAAAAAAGAAAAAGTGAAATAAAAAGTAAATCAACTAATAATAACAAAGTGCACAAACGTAGTATTTATTATGAGTATCTACTATCTAATCTGGATGTTTACTTTCTAATATTCTGATTATTGTTTTCCGACTATATAGAATTATAGGAATCGACTCAAATCCAAATCTATAATTAATTAATGTTGGTTCATATTTTTGTCCAACAGAATATATAATTAATAATTAATTTAAAATTTCTTAAGAAGCTTTCTCAATTTTAGTATTTTCTCCACCTCTTTAAGTTTAACCTATAGTATTATCTTATAAAGAGAGAAGTCGGATCAAATAGTTCAAACCAAAATATCAACTACAAAAAAAAAAAAAAAAAAAAAAATATCAACTACAATTTATAGAAGGGTCGACTCCCAAACTTAAGTGAAAGTATTTTAATACTCACACTTGTTTTTGTTATCTGTGTCTTGTTCATGTTTATATTATATCGTTTAACTTGGAATAATTTTTGGTCCATTATAAGAAAGAAAAATTAAGTTTTGGTACGATATTCGCCTTTAAATTTTACTTTTCCAAACGTGACACCAAACTTCTTTTTATTTTACTTTGGAACAAGTTCTTGTTCTCTTTGCTTTTATAAAGTAATTTATTTGATTTTATTTGCAAATGCGACCAATGTCTAAATGAGTAATGAATATCTACATATATATATACGTCTTTCTTTTGTTTATATATCAATCTATGTATGTACATACAAAAGTGTCGACCATAAGGTCATAAAAAAACTAACTATTTAAAACACGGAAAATAATATTTGAAAATAAAAGGAAAAAGTGATAGATTAAGGACAAAAATCGATGACTATGCTATAAAGGGAAAGGTTAGAAAACGAAGTTGATAAAAAAAAAATGGTTACAGAACGAAGGAGTAATTGTCACAAAGAAAATCGAATTAGGTTAGATTTATAGTCATTACTGATCATCATGATTATCATCATCGCCACCTATCTAAAATCGAATCATGTAAATGCACTCCACAATTTTTTTTTTTCCCCACCAATCCCGCCGATTAAGTTTTGACCACGACATCGATCAGATCTAATCACACTCACTCTATCAAATATCTTTAATTAAATTAGATATTTCATATAAAACAAAAAACGAATTAGTAAGTATTACATTGTCATGATTTGGACAGACATCGACTATCGTGCTAATCTTTGAACTCAATATGCCTTAAATTTATGTCGGTTTACATTACAATAATAATATCGTGATTAGATGAACGCTTTAAAATTTGAATGATTAATTAATACAAGAATAACCGGCCACGCTAATTACATATAGGTTCTGTATAGTTCTTATTACGCGTGTATACATGACTACATGAGTTTTTCTAAATCGTAACTCGAAAGATATCTCTTCAAATTAATCAAATATATAGTTTTTTTGTTAAAAAGTCTTCAGTTATATAATTGAACATGAATATTAATGTGTTTGTTTATGCTGTCTATATCTATTTTTCATCGAAATAAAATTATAAATAATACAGTACTATTTTAGGGTTAGTTTTCAATTTATCATTTTGTTTACAAATACACAATTTTGTGTGTGTTTAGCGTGATATCTTTTGAAAGAAGATCGAATGTGATAGCTTTTAAAAAAAATTCTATTTTTTCATGGGTATATAAATTTAAGAAAATTTTCTGTTATATCACCAAAGTGCTAATTCAAGAGCCATTTTGCCCAAAAAAAGAAAGGTGTTAATTTAAGAGCAATTACCCATTATGAAAGTATAACATTTTTCTCTCTATATAATCTCAAAAATTATTTAGAACATTTTTAAACTCTTATAAAAATTTCATCGGGAACTTTTTCTAGAATTTTAGAATAGGTATGCTCACAACGTTGTGGTATTATTGAAAAACAGTTTTTGTACATGTGTGATATATTAGTATTTTTTTTTGTTTAATTTTTAAATTAGAAAAACAAAAATTTCAACTAAAATCACTAAGCTCAGTTATATCTTTGTAAATTTTTGGTGAGCATATATGTTTTAATTTGTTCAATGTTATTACAAGTAAAACAGTAAACAATAATCATCTCATAAGATGGAACATTAAGTACGTCCATTACGACAAAACGATGTGAACTGCAATTAGCTTCAATTATCGAACTAATATCATCGTTTTCGCATTTATCTCATATATAGTAATGCTATACATTTTTGTTTAAATATTAATTTGGATTCAATTCTAAGACGCCAGACTATTTAGTCGTCTATTTTCCTTTGAACTAGTGTCTATATAAAGGGATTATTGTCTAAAATGCCATTTTTTTGGAAAAACTTACGAAAATGCCATTTTTTGAATAGTTTACGGATTTTGCCCTTTTTTAACACTTAAAAATGTACGTATTTATAATTTTTTTTGCAAAAATACGTACTTTATACCAAATACTAAACCCTAAGAACAAATGGAACCGACTAAACCCAAACATAACGAGTGAAACGCATGTTAAATCATATTTTTGGAGCTTGAAAAAGGGCAAAATCCACAAACTATTCAAAAAAGGGCAAAATCCACAAATGTCACTATAAAAAATGGCAAAATCCGTAATTAATTCCTATATAAATCATATCTCATGCTTTCGTAAGAATGGTTCCATTTCCTAATATA